CCTTGTTAACAAAAAGAGCTTAACATGTTTAAGATGTTTAACATAGTCATATGACAGGTGAAAAATAAACAAATAAACAAAAATTTGCTTAATAAAAATACAAAAATACAATCTTTAAATACATTGTAGTATAATGTTTGTGCAAGAAAACAAGTGAACGATGTGGTAATATAGATTATGATTGTGCTTCTAAATGACTGAGATTTATGGATATATTTTAATTAAAACAGATTTTTGCCGGCTCGCCACGGCGAGCCGGTATTACGATAGGATTTTACTGAGAAACAACCTAAAACTCCGAATCTATCCAAAAATTTAATCGATGCTTGGCTTCCAGCTTTCTACAAAATTTATCTGTCAGGGCTGGAATCCAAAATTATTTAGCCAATCAAATGTAATCTTACATAGCGTCAAAAAACCTTCAATTTTCACGCCATATTTAAAAAGCAGCAAGTATTGCTTTGAGCGCAAAGATATAATGATGATTAAAATGTTTTTTTTCAGGAATTCTTTTCACAATAAATCATATTTACACTGACTTTTGATTTAGCGATTTCACCTGTTTTCTCTGTAGAAAGTTTCCGGTTAATTAACATAAGTGTACATCTGGTTCTGTGCATTTTTTTCTTTTTCCTTTTTCCGGTCATTTTATCCTTTCTGGTTTTGAGTGTATTGTATTTTACTGGCCCGGATCCGGGACGCCCGGGATCCGGATCGTATTAGATATAGAGGAAAAAAATTAATAATAACTATATTTGTGTTGATTATTGTCGTAATGAAAGGCCATTAAACGTTAAGTTTTTATTTTTTTATTGTTTGTAATGAACGTTAAATTAATTTAACTTAGGGTATAGATATATTTAGAGCTATTTATTAACAAACTTAAAATGCGGAAGTCACAAATCTTATAATTATATGCCTAATTAATTGGAAAAATCAAAGACTATATTCTTGAATTGGTTATAACTATATGCCTAATTAATTGGAAAAATCAAAGACTATATTCTTGAATCAAATCCCAGGATCCCTATATGTTTTAATACGATCCAAGCTTATATGAAAACTATATTCTTGAACTGGCCAATTCCTGGGAGCTCTATATATTTTAATACGATCCCGGCTTCTCTGAAAACTATATTCTTGAACTGGTCAATTCCCGGATCTCTATAATGTTTTAATACGATCCCGGCTTTTTCTGGCTGAAATGATTGTCAACTTGTGTTTACTTAAGGACTTGTATCTGTCACTCATTCTAATACTAAATAACATATTACAACTTAAACTTCGTATAAAGAGACATCCCTATCTAACATTTTTTTGGTCAAGGTCAATAGGCCATATAGTAAATGTGCATAGACATTATGGACTTCATTCTATCTGTTTACATGCATCTTCATATATACTCATACTGAGAGAACTGGCTTCCATAACTTTATATGTCACAACAGAACTGTCATTTTTACAATTAAACACAGCCCTGGAAAAAAGTTACGAAGCGAGTCGCTACTAGTTTTTTTAAAAGCTAACCTTGTTTGCGTTTAAAGTAGATATAGACGGTCTAACATAAAATTACCTTTTTAGGTACTAAATTCGTAGACAATGAAACAAAGGGCATGCGCATATAAAGTGGTATGTCGAATGTACTGCAACATAATCCAAAGGGTTATCAATCATATTATTATCATTATCATTATTATCATTATTATTATTATTATCATTATCATTATTATTATTATTATTATTATTATATTACAAAAATGATCACATACGATAATACATTTGCCTTATCATAAAAGAAAAAGCTGATGGTTCACGTCAAGTTTTGTCTAAAAATGATGTTGAAATAATCATGCCCACCGATTAAAACTAAAAAAGAAAAAGAGAAAAAAACAGGATATATGTCATTTTATACAAAATATCCTGTACCCATGTAAAAATTTTAATATTGGACGGTTCTTTTATATTTTTCGAATATGCGAGTCCAATACTATTAGTATTGTACTCAACAATGTGCAACGACTTCTTGATTTCAAGAACTTAAATATTGTTACCAATGATCAGCAATTTAAAATGCATTTTGAATATGTAAGAGAAATAACTTGTACAGAATGAAAGAACAAATACTGGCAGAGTAACATCGGTTATAATATGAATTTTATATGGACTTTTTCCACTTTGAACACAAGGCTTGTATGGAATACAATATGCAATAGGTAGTGAAACATATTGATAAGTTTTTAAATAAATTCAAAGCAGATCTTCATTAAATGTTGAATGTATATAATTTAGCTGGTTAATGCTAAAGCACACAGACGATAAAGCGTTTAACAATACCGTTCTTTCACAGTCTTAATCAAATTGAGCCTTCATTACATTCATTTTTGCCGTGTTTGTGCGTTTTTAAAGGTTTCTGATTCAACTTTAAGTAGGTCCTAGACCTAAGGTAACAAATCAAACATCGCTCTAATAAAAGATGTAGTCGATCTGGATGCTTGATTTTCGAAAAAAAGAAAGAACTTTGTTTATATATTTTCAGATCCAAAAGTTCATTTAACAGCGAGAGAAACAATGCCTTAAATGTACGCTGAAAATGCAATACCTGCAGTATCGGCTTACTTCTAACGACTAGACCTGTGTGAACGTACATGTTATAGCAATAGCAAAAGGCTAATAAAACGCTATGGAAGTCCCTATGTGTCCAAAAGAACCGTAATATCACAAAATATATTGTCTATATATCTTTTCATATTGTAGGGACTAGTTATTTCAGCGCTTGCACGTTCCAGTATTGTCTATGAACAGGCTCAATCAAACCGAGTCTGTAACATTTTCAATTTTGCCGCTTTGGACTTTTTGTAGGGATTCTATTTCGTTTCTCCCTATTGCAAAGTCGGTAAATCATCACCTGATCAGGCTCCCTTATTAGTAAATTCAGTTAAAATAGACATAGAAATATAAATAATTTTGACCCAGTTAGAGAACTTTTTGTATGACACGCTTTCAACATTTATTCGATGGTAATTAAAGTTCTTTTTGTAGACAATAATATTCCGTGTATCTGTCCGATGTTTTGTTTTGTTTTTTTTTGTTGTTGTTTTTTGCATGGACATTTTACAAATATATAAAACCCTCTATTAATTGTCTAATTAATCATCTGAGATTTCATTTATGGAATATATTACTGAAAATTAAAATTTGAATTATTAAAGACAATTTAGCAGCACAGAATAAATAGAGATCAGGATTATTGGGTCTGATACCATTAGTTAATTGTTTTCAAAATAATCAGAATCAAGCTTTATTTACTTTAATACACTTATTTTATATGATATAATTATTTGCTCTTATGTAAATGATGATTTATATGTCATGAATGTTACCCATTAATTGAAAATAAACTATTTTCTATTCTATTCCATTCTATTCTATTCTTTGATAATTTGCTCTATTATTAAGCAAACAGAACTTACATCGTTTAAAAATACTTAAGTTTAATTCACTTTTTGTACACTTACAATTTTCAATGAATTAAATTGTCAATGTTATTTTCTCATGTTACCGTTTACATTAGTAATTAGAAATTAAGGACCTGTATATATATACAGTTTAATCTGTAGTTATATTTTAATAATACTCTATTATGTGACTAAAACATCAAAACTTTAATAATTTACGACATTTTGTTAATTTAAACCATTATTGGCATGTAAAAATGCACTAACATATGTGTTACACTTGTTTTCCAAATTTGATACATGTTTGTGAATTTGTAAAATAAAATATGTTTAAACTAACTTAAATATGGCGGCTTCAGTTTGCATTTTATGCCTAACTTCTGCACAGAGGACATATTCAGATGTAAATTGAACATAGTAATATTTTACATTAGATTAGCTTCCTAGTAAAAAAAACAGTTATAAAAATTCAAATAAGAATTAGCACACAAAAAAATTAAATTGGACGCATTACACATGCAGTACGAGACAAAATGAATGCATAAACGTTGGTGTGTAACTCTTTCATAAAGTAATATTTCAGGTATCCTTGATATACAATACTTCAGAAGGAGGAAAAAAACGCCTCTTTGAATGGAAACACCGTGGGGTTTTTTGTTTTGTTTTTGTTTTGTTTTTCAAACAATTTGGAAACAGTTCAATTAAATTTCTTTAAATTATTAAAATTTATCCTCACAGGAGACCTTTTTAACTTGTAGTAACTTTGCATCGGATTAAGAACTTCAAATGGTATGGTCATAAAAATTGTATTAATTGTCAATGTGTTTATCTGTTGAACAACTATTTGTAATTAGAGTTTGCTCCAATTTCTTGTTCAATCAGAGAGGCTTATTTCAAATCAAATTAAAAAAAATATGTCCCATAAAATGTTTAATATGAAAAATACGCGACTTATTTAAGTGATATGAACAGCACGTGACACGTCGTTTGGAGGTCGAGTTACTTAAATTACGGGCACCAAACATGTAAAATTGTACAGATTTTATGACCAAAATACAAAAGTACCATTAGTACGTAGCTGAGTTACAGCAACATCGTTAATATTCTCCATGTAGAACTTTCAAAAATGTGATTTTTCATGTTATGCGTAATCCATCAATTAAATAAAATTGTGTTTAACCAATGTGCGCTGCAGTTAAAACTCGTATTTATTTAAAATAAAACATGCAGATATGGCATCGATGCGACGTGATTGTCAGGCAATCTTTTGGCGCGTTAGAAATGTCAATCATAACAAAGTGCGATCTTACCGTGACGTCAAAAAGCATTGCCGGTGTGCTCGCTGGACAAACTGTTAGCAAGTTATTTAGCAAGTTATTGGTCTATATAAAATTTTATGAAATTTATTGAACCTCTACGCCTTCGGCTTCTCTCGCAAAGAAAACCGTAAAATTTGATAAATGACCAATAGCTCATATATGTTGTCATTGGATGGGCAACTGTTGGTACTTTAAATGCATTGCAATAAAGTCAATAATTTCAATATCAATTTATTAGATTTGGTATACTTAATGTAAGTAATTAAATGTCAAATATTGGTCCGTTAACATAGTTAACAACATATTCGTTGAAATATGTTATATTGATTCAGATAAACAGAATTGTGTTAAAAATGAAATCAATTAGAATATACCAAGTACCTGCTATATATACATGTAAACAAACTTAAAAGAAGCAGAATAATTATAAAAATGGAAGTTAACCACGGGCATTTATATGGTGGCATATTTCTGCCACCAGATTACCAGATAATCATATAACTAACTAGTTAATTACACCTCTTAATTAACTAGTTATTATTTATTTCTTTGTTAGTCCATCTAAATAAACAAATTCTCTTGACACACTTTTAGATCTATCAAACAATTCAGCGGGTCGGTCATCGTATCCAAACACTAAACAGTCTTCTAGAACAAACTGTCTTAATCTTTCCATATCCTTTATTGGTACCTGTCTATACGCCTGAATCAGGGCCTCTTTCCTTTGAAGTTTTACTTCTGTGCGGTTTACTGGAATTTTTAGTGCAGTCTTAATAGCTTCCATGTATTCCTCCTTTGTTACAGTTTCAACATCAGTTTCTTTAAATGGAAATGGAATATGTTTAGAAAGATAACCTCGTATCTGCAAGTCTCTCCATGTCCTAAGCATAATTTTAATGAATGGAAACTTGATTTCATCCAGAACTTTCTTTGTACTAAAGAGAAAATTTACATGCCCTCTAGCAGTGTCAAGGACTGTTTCTTTTTCGAAATCCTCGAAGCGTAGGTTTACATCATCAAAGTCATTTCTCCATTTAGTAATAAGGAAACGTGCATCATCGGAGAGTGTTTCTAATTTTACAAAATATTGAAAGTATATTGAACATGGATCACATAAGCTGAGCATTGGCCGGAAATGTCCATTTATACCTAATCCTGATTCATGCAGGTAAAGAATATATTTTATGAATTCAGGAAATGTTACATCAAATCCATAATTATTGTATACGTCGTTATTGTCTTTTCTTATAACATGCACGACCTGTCTGCCGGTGAGTTTCCAGAACATCAAATTAGAGTGATAAATTTTATTTTCATATCCAGAGAACAGTCGAGCGTACGGGTTTCTTGCAACTATAAACGACGTCCCTTTCGTGTTCAGGCTATTCAACTCGCGCTTTGAGAGATCATTTATTTTAGCCAATCTTACACCGCCTAAGGATATATCAAATGGTGAGTTGAGTTTACCTCGGCTTGCCATTACAGTAAGCACTCGTTTCCAAAACGTTGAACTAACTTTCGGAATCGGACAATAATAGATGGAATGGACCTTATCAATAATCAGTCCTGCAGTACTACTTGATATTTCAGTCCTGTCCAGTTTAGTGCGGTTAATTTTCTTACATCCTTCATTTATCACGTGTCGGCGTTCTTCATAAAGATGTTCTCTATCATTCTCTGAATCTTGTTTGGTGGTTCTTGTAGAAGTGATGACAAACGCTTTACTGTTTTGATGTTTTTCTATTGCGTTGAACATTTGAAAGGGAAGTATACGATTGTCTTTAATTTGATCTGAAAAGAAAAGTTGAAATATTATATTTTATTAAAGCCTTTGAACCATGTTTTGTTCCAACAGAAATCATTGTCTATTTTATTTTATCAATTTAGCATCGATTCCATTACCAGAGTACAAAACATCCATATCAAAAGCATATCACACTCTATATAGGCTCGCTTTCAGTTCAAGAGTACAAAACATCCATAACACCACATATAGCCTCGCTTTCTATTTTTAAGGTAAAAAATATCAATTCTTGTGTGTTTTGTCAAAAAAACATGTGATATAAAGAGGTTATTAAACATTTTTGACAAGCATACTGATTCTGTTGGACTCATAAACAGCTACAAAACCTATATCAGGATCGGCTAGTACCTCGTCCAATATAGGTATGACTGTTGTGTACTCGTCCAGTAGAATTCAGTTTAGAACTCAACAATGTATAACAACCTCATAATACCGCATGTTGACAATTCTGATGAGTTCTTTTCATTGTTAAAAGTGTGTACTATATCAGCATGATTGTGTATTCCTGACATGTAGATAAAAAAAAACCATAAAATTTTAACGGTGCCGTTAATCAAAATTAATATATTTGTCTTTTAAAATCATTTTCATACCAAAAGACATAGCTCGTCGACCCATATTATCATTTGCTATGAAAGAGTCAATAAGGCATTTTAATATATCTTAACAGAAATATTAATTTATAATTGAATTTCGAACCAAATGTGCTGTGCTCATGCCGATGATATTACAATAAGATGGTGCTTATCCTATTATAATACATGTATTATTTTTATTTGCAATAACGAACTTTTGAAAAAGGTGTTTCTCCAATTTTAAAAGTTGGAAAGAAAAGAATATATAGTTTAATGGATATTGCAAACTTGATTACTTTAAAATATATATTTAAATTTGCGAATATATTTGACGGTATAATTGTTTGTGTACATACCTAAATATGTATTATGTTGTTTATGTAATATATTTTTACTGATATACTAATGTTGATGCTGTGCATCTGTTTTTGAATGAATTGTATTATTTTCCAGCCACTTGATGAATTGATTTACTGCAAACAAGTAGAGCTAAACAAGTAGAGCTAGATTGCACATTTTAACTTCTGAATTCATTTGAAAACAATTCTTCTAGAATAAACCCAATTTTATTTGTTGTTTTTTTTAAACGTTATTGCATAACTTCATCATACATTTAGATGCAGTTTATTGCAATCTATTTATTTATTTATCTATTTATACATGCATAAAGTCATCATAAGTTCATACATTTTAACACATTTTACTGTTTTCGGGAAAAAAAACATAAAATTACTATACATGGTCATCTACGATAGAATAAGGAGACAGTAAATTTTACTAGCAGTTTCTAATGTTTTTTATGCTAAACTATCAAGTATACACTACTTGGTTTAAACATAATTATCTATTTTAGCTAGATTGCGAAACAAGTTCTTGCAACTTATATTAATCACTATCGAGTCCGCCTCCTGGAACCAATGAGTACTGGTGTCATATGAAGAAACATGGTCGTGACCCGAGTAGGGCTCGAACAAATGATCTTTGTGTTGAGAGGCAGACATCTTAAGCACTAGGCCGCCGTTCACGGACACTACTCCTACATTATAGACACTACCTAGAAAAGAACAGGTGCTAGTACACATCTACAAGTTAACAGGTAAAAATAGCCATGCGTTATAGCAGCTTTAGATATTTACCGTCTTAAAATATTGTCCATATTTAAATGTTTTGTTTATCAATTGTTTTTCTCTGCTTAAAAATGTAATCATGTCAATCACTGATTATGTCTTTATTATAATTTTAACAAACTTTATCCAACCAAGTTCATATTTCCAAATTAATTAAATAATTTCACGCATCTTTCATGTATGCAATATTATGAATGGAAATGTATTTTTGTCTATTATAGTATCTTGTAAAAATATCTTGTAGTAATAAAAATAACATTGTAATATATCCATTTGGAAACATATTTATTTTTTATTTTCCCCCCGAAAGTGTGTACATAGAGGATCAGTTGCACCCGATTTTTGTACACTTAGTACTCCGACTTCTTATATTGTGTATATATTGAAGTAAAACTTACAATTGTATTGTGTGCACATGGTCAAATTACCATTTGTCTTTATATATGAACCGTGCTTACGTATAAAAACACCAATTATTCAATTCTTTAATCTTTTGCGCATTTCACTTGTTACAATTTTCATAGGAATTGTCAGTACAAATATGTGTTTTTATTATTATTTATTATTATTACTATAATTATCATCATCATCATCATTATTATTATTATTTATGTATTTATTTATGTATTTATTTATTTATCTATTTATTTCAAAATCTTAAAATACACTATTTTCTGTTTATTTAAAGTTACAAGATAACAATTAAATATTTGTAGGGGAAAATAATATAAACAATAGGAGTACTTAGCACTATTGTCAGCGTGTATGCCTGGGTTTATTTCTGAAATAAATCATTTTCAGATTTAATTCCTCATCCTATAGATTTTCCTATGCACATGTATAGTTAATCAATTATATTTAAAAAATGAGCATTATCTATGTCAATATTTTATTATAGTTCAAGAATATGTTCCAAACTCATTTATTCAAAATAGTCCAAATGATTTAAATTATAAGAAATACATGTATAATAATACCATTTAAAACTATGAAAGATGTCACTATAATTACAACACAGACAAAACTCTTTAAACTCTTTAAACGTGTGTCCATTGTGAATGGTTTAACTGCACATTGTTATTTACTATGCTTTATCTTGAACGAGTTAGATAAAGTATTCACTAATGCCAATAACTGTAGACATACAACATTTCTGAAAGCTTGTATCGGGTTTGTTTGTTTACATTGGATTTGTTTGCTTTATGGGAAATCACTTTATATTTGCTGAATAAAAGAATAAAACTTTATTAAAATCATTATTTCAAATACATGTAATTCCATTGCTGCAGATCTACCTTTATTGATTATCATTAAAAATCACATGTATCGCCTCATTATAGCCAATGCATGTTGCAGCTATTGTGTAGCAGGAGACACAAAAATATGAAGAAGGCAGTTCGCGATTTACGTCCAAGGGCCATAACTTAGCTAAAATCATTCTACTGGAAAACCAGTGTAACATGCGCGAGTACTTAAGCTACTGATCAATCCTATAAAGTTTCATTGATATTGTAAGAGGAGTATTTCGGAAAATATTCGGAAATAAAAATCATTAAAGGGCCTTAACTCTAACAAAAATCATTGAACCAAAAATGATGATGATATGCAGAACTAGAATTGGTATTGATCATTCCTGTAAATTTAGTTTTGATGAAATTTCTCCAGTAGTTTCTGGGGAGTAGTGCAGACAAGCTTCTGTGCAGCTGGCAACATAAAAAAAAACTTTTTTATTCAAGGGCCATAACTTGGCTCAAGATCATTCAAGCAGAAAACCTGTCTTGTGTCACTAGTACTTCAGCTACCAATCAATCCTTAAAGTTTCACTGAAATTGCATTAGTGGTATAAGTAATGCAGTCCGGACAAACTTATTAAAAACACCGTTTTTATTAAAGGGCCATAACTCGACCAAAAATATTCAATCGAAAAACACGTGTAACATGCGCAATTTTTGCAAGTACTTGAGCTACTGATCAACCCAGTAAAATTTAATTGAAAATTGCTTTAGTGATATAAGATGAGTAGTCCGGATAAATTTTAAAATTAAAATCATTAAAGGGCCATATCTGTGACAAAAATCGTTAAATCGATATGTGCCGACGATATGCACAACTGGACTTGATACTGATCATTCCTGTAAAGTTTGAGTGAAATTACACCAGTAGTTTCTGAGGAGTAGTCCGTACAAGTTGTGTGACGGACTGACGGACAGACAGACAGTGAGACGCACACGCACGCCGCACGCCCACCAACACACACACACACACACACACACAGAAAGACGACGGAGAAGTGATCACTATATGTCGCCACTACTCTGTAGAGGCGATACAAAAAATTACATCGATGAAATACGGAAAAAGAAGCTGGCTCTAGCTGTGCACTTGATAGAAAAAACTGATTTGCACTTCCTTGGTTTTCAGTCGCACAAACACTGTAAATGTCATATGACGACTTTCCAGCGTTGCTGGTGGAGGAAGGCCGCAGACTATGCATGAAAATGTATGTGTAGATGTAATGCTTTTCATATCACAAAAGGACAATGCTCACAATGGACAGCGTAAAAACTACATCTGAATAAAATTGCAAAATTATGTAAATATTTATATAATATGCGTTTATTATCGTTCACCGGTTACTTAAATATGTTAAAATAATATGCCGCCGTTATTCACTGAATCTTAATAAAATGGTGATTCCATTGTTTACCTTTGACAAATATAAAAACTAAATTAGCGGAACAGCACATATACAATTACATACAAATGTTTTCCTGTAAATCTTATACTGGTCTTGTCATTCTAAAATAGTTTTCCAACTAAATTTAATGTACAGTAAATACGTAACTGTAACAAATATATATTTTACAAGTATTTCACATGACGATAAATTGCCACGTATTTTGTATCAAGCACTATTTAAACTTAGGAAAAAAATGATAAAAAATGGAAGATATATTGACCTATTTTGTCAACATCTGGTGTCTATCAAGAGATCGTAAAACTAGAAAATATGATCATCATTGCGTGTGTGTTTAGAAACCGGAGAGTTTGCTTCGATTAGATTAGATTCAGAATAATTATAAAAAGAAAATTACTATATTAGTATAGCTAGATGAAATAAGTAATAATTCAAACTAGAATTACATGCCATAGACAGATGGTGTTACAACAAACGAGTAACAGATGATCTAGACATAATGTTTTTGTATTAACCGAATCGAACATACGATTCTAATATATAATTACTTCATACAATAAATGGAATCACATATTATAGTAAATTTATAATGGTATTATTTCCACGGATATATAACATTGTTTTATATTGAATGAAACATAATCTTATATATAGCTGCTTTATATTCTGTATAATTGATGATACTTCACAGAATGTTTTGTGAACAATACATGCGAGATTATTGCTTGTAATAGGCTAAATTCATGTCCATGTAGGTCATGTTGTAGTTCAAGTCGGAACATCGGTGAATATGGCGCGATGCTAAGCTGAGATTCTTTTGGTCGTTTTGAAAATTGTTTCCCCTTTTTTTGGTATTATTCGTCCACATTAATTCATGAAGGTTAATATTCTTTTGGGGATATCTGGATTTGCAGTGTTCATTGCTTTATTTACTCATGTTACAGGTTTACTGACATCATAATAGTTTATTTAACTAATTTATCACACACCCGTGTCGATTTTGCGACTCCGTAAATGGTATTGCACGGCCTTGCATATATTTTGACGTGACGTCATTAGCGTTATTCAAACATAGTGTAAAGACGTGCTAAATGTTAGCGTTATATACATGTACTATAGAAGCGTCAATGAAAAATGACTCTTATTTTACCTTAAACGGTCTTTATTTTGGGTATGTGATAAATAGAATATTAAATTCGTGTAACTTCATTACTGAATTTATTGCACTCGTTGAATAGGCCAGAGGCTCGCATAATATAATTTTATTCAACTCGTGCAATAAATTCAGTATTGAACTTACACTCATTCAATATCCTCTATATATACAATTGGAAAATATCTAACGTACTATGTTTAAAAAAACTAACGTCATGTCCATATGTTGATTTTCAAACTTAACTGGTTAACATCACTTAGCGTTAATTATTGATCCATTCATTTGATAAAAATTTAGAACGTTATGCTAATCACAGGCGGCCCACATATATATATGTATATAAATATAGTCTACATTTATATACATACTTAAATCTCATTTTAAGGTCACCATCAAGCAGTATATACCATCCAAACACCATGTGGGCCCCCTGTGTTTTTAACGAACGATAACACCAAACATACATTTCTGAAGTTTGGCGATATTTCATATACATGTACTTTTAAAAATTTGATTTTTCCGCTCTAAAACTTATGGCACAAAAATTGTCATAAGCTGTAACATATAGGTTTTGGGTATGCCTAAAATACGAAAGTGAGATTTTTGACGAAAGTGAGCGAAAGTGACTTTTAGAATTTGAATTGTACTGTTTTAATAGAATTTTACAATAAAATTGCTGTTTGTAGATGTATATTATTAGCAACTTATTATATATATTATAATAGATAACCATAGTCATGATTTAATCGCCATTTATTGGATTAATTTCTATATACAAGTTCAGCGATCTTCCTTTCTCTTGTATAGAAAAATACGAAAGTGACTTGTAAAGTATTAAATGTAGAGTTTAATTTGAAAATGTACTAAATTTGCAGTTCGTGTAAATATATAAGAAATTAATATTATTTATTTTCTTAATTAATCATTATGATGATTTATAGTTTTATACCCCTTTTTTTGCATAATTTCTATATACAATATCAGCGATCTTCCTTTCGCTTGTAAACATTGAAAAATACGAAAGTAACTTGTAAAATATCAAATATAGAGTTTGAATTGAAAATGTACTTAAATTGCAGAAAGTTTCAGAAATTAATAATTTGATATTTAACACTATATTTAAAAAAAAACTCTATATTTGATAATTTAGAGGTCACTTTCGTATTTTCTATGTGAGCGAAAGGAAGATTGCTGAACTTGTACATATTAAAATTATGTAGAAAAAATGGGGGTAAAAAGCATCATAATGATTATTTTTGACAATAAATAATATTAATTTTTGATATTATTCGCCTCAAAAATGCAATATATGTATTACTTTAAATTCAACGCTTTATTTTATATTTTACAAGTCACTTTCGTATTTTTCAAAGTGAGCGGAAGGAAGATCTCAGAACTTGTGTATAGAAATTGTGCAAATAAATGGCGATTAAATCAACATAGGGATTATTTTTGAAAAGAAATATTATATGTTGCTAGTAATATACGACTACAAACAGAAAATTCACCGTAAAATTCTATTAAAACGGTACAATTCAAATTTTAAAAGTCACTTTCGCTCACTTTCGTCAAAAATCTCACTTTCGTATTTTAGGCATACCGGTTTTTTGGCTACTTTTACCCAGGATGCATTTTAAATTTCGCAAAATCTCGCGACATATGATAACTTGCGGTAACACGTACAATTCCACCGATACTGAGTTTAACTGTGTGACGTCACAGTCTCTTCTCCATCTTATATTTAACTCCATGTTATTTTGCATAATTTTAAATATTAAAAGTATCTTTACATTGTAACTCAACATTTATTTTTAACAAACAGAACATTTTGAAAATGGTGATTGTTTCAGACGTATGTACAAATTTAACGGACTATTGTTGCTTTTTGCAGAAGTTTGTAAAATGTTGTTCTGTTTCATACTATAGGTACGTATAATATACGTACCTGGTTTTACGTGAGAATCTAGAGATTGAAAATATTTTGCACAAAAACTTTGTTGTTAAGGTGTTTGAATAAAATATGTCAATTCTGACCAATTTTAACACTGGTCACATAAAAATATGCCATTACCGTGAAATAAGAGATGACGCGGAATTATTGAGTACAATATCAGCGCTTGACAATTGAAAGTTACTTCCCTTTTCTATGCAACGCCATTTACAGACAAAAAATAATGGAGAGTGAGAACACGGATAGTGAAGATGACGGATGGAATAAACCTGTTGACGAAAGTGACAATCAAGTCAATATACCGTACAATAAGCAGAAATTAAATAAACCTGGTAGATTATTATTATGATTGTTATTATTAATTGTCAATTATTGCATAACAAACACGAAATTGGCCTACATCTGGGACAAGCTACAAGCTATATGTAGGTCTATTTCCATAAAATTTATTTATTTTCCTTGATATTTATAACTATAGCAAAACTATTGTCAAGCCTAAGAAGTCTGATTATACTTCTCAAATTATACTTCTCAAATGGTACCGTAAGTTGTATTGATGTCCATCCCATTGGATTTGTAATCCAGGGATAGCTTGTTTGATAATCAGACAAGGTGAATCTTCTCCTTAACAATTAATATGAGATATTAGGTCTATTGCTCAATTGTGGTTTACCACTGTTTCTGAAATCATGTAGCAGAGTAGTCACTAGTCAGTCATTTGTGTAGAATTTTGTAATTACTGGTAAGTTAACCAGGAAAATCAGTCTGCTGGATTTGTCTGCCCAGCTGATTAAACTACTAACAACTTTGTAATAATTATCACAGGAACCCGAAATTCTATCCAAAACATAAAAATAATGATTTCAAAAAAATCCCATATATATATATACTTTAAAAAAAAACACAAGGAAGGCAACAACATTTCCCCACCCACCACTACATTTACAAGGATTGAAGGAATATTTGTAAATACGCCTGGAATTACTTCCGAGCACACTTAATCAATAAAGCACATTAAAATTTATCAGAAACAAGTGACTACATACTCTTATCAACTATCCAACTTTTATGCCAATTGAATGAGTTTATCACTGCTCTTCTCCCATCGTCAGTTCCATTGCCAGCCCTAGCAATAAACTCCATCATACTGTTATTGACCGCTCTTTGTAGATCTCGAAATTCTATCCAAAACAAAAAAGAACGATTTTAATAAAAATCCAATATATATAATAGTATATTATATAATATGGGATTTTTATTTAAATCGTTCTTTTTTCGGGTTCCTGTGTAATTAATTATATTGTTATTGTATTTCAGAACCAACTCATCCATGTGTAATACTTCATATAGATATTGATTGTTTTTATGCTCAAGTTGAAATGCTGAGGAAACCTGACTTAAAAAATAAACCTTTAGGTAAGTTGAACTTTTCATTTCTGTTTTACTGCATTTTTAGCTCACCTGAGCTAGCTCAGGGTGAGCTTTTAGGATCGTTGAATGTCCTCATCCGTCGTTCGTCCACACTTGTTCATTAACACTCTAGCGGTCACATTTTTGTCTCAATCACAATCAAACTTTGTCAGGATGCTTATCTAGGTAATAGCTCGGATAAGTTTGAACATGGTTCATCTCGGATGAAAAACTAGGTCACAGGAGCTAAAAATAGAAAAACCTTGTTAATACTCTAGTGGTCACATTTTTGACTCAATTATCATCAAACTTGGTCAGGATGCTTGTCTAGGTAATTGCTTGGATAAGTTTGAACATGGGTTATCTCGGATGAAAAACTAGGTCACAGGAGCTAAAAATAGAAAAATCTTGTTAACACTCTAGTGGTGTTGATCCAAATATCTTGGAAATTGGTCTGAAAGTTTGTTTTGATGATTTCTAGGTCAAGTTCGAATATGGGTCACCTGGGGTCAAAAACTAGGTCACACAGCCCAAATAATTATGGAAAAACCTTGTTAACACTCTAGTGGTCACATTTTTGACTCAGTCATCATCAAACTTGGTCAGGATGCTTGTCTAGGTAATTGCTCGGATGAATTGGAACATATGTCATCTCGGATGAAAAACTAGGTCACAGGAGCTAAAAATAGAAAAATCTTGTTAACACTCTAGTGGCCACTGTGTTGATCCAAAAATCCTGTAAATAAGTCTGAAAGTTTGTTTTGATGATTTCTAGGTCAAGTTTGAACATGGGTCATCTCAGATGAAAAACTAGGTCACACCGCCAAAATATGGAAAAACTTTGTAACTGTTAACCTCTAGTGGTCACATTTTTGACTCAGTTATCATCACACTTGGTCAAGATGCTTGTCTAGGTAATTGCTCGGATAAGTTCAAACATTGGTCATCTCGGATGAAAAACTAGGTCACAGGAGCTAAAAACAGAAAAATCTTGTTAACACTCTAGCGGTTACTGTTTTGATCCAAGTATCCTGGAAATTGGTCTGAAAGTTTGTTTTGATGATTTCTAGGTCAAGTTCGAGTATGGGTCACCTGGGGTCAAAAACTAGGTCACACTGCTCAAATATGGATAATCCTTGTTAACACTCTAGTGGTCACATTTTTGACTCACCTGTCATGAAACTTGGTCAGGATGCTTGTCTAGGTAATTGTTCAGATGAGTTTGATGGGTCAGGTGAGCGTTCTAGGGCCATCTTGGCCCTCTTGTATCTACATTTGTTTAATTTCACTTTCTTGCCATCCATCAATGAATTTTCTGTATATTACTCTTAGCCTTCTGGCTGCAACTGATCGATCCATGTAACCAATGCAGACCAAGATCAGTTGATACTGTCCTTTTGAAAAAGACATAAAGAAACTGCAGTTCTGTAGTGTTTGATTATGCATGTTTAATGAAAAAAGGTATTTTTCAATTTGAAAAAATGTTTCTTCAGTTTAAAGTATTTTTCAAACATTGGTATTATCAGTTTTAGGGTCTCTTATAGTTTAAAACATTCAAGATGTATATTTTTATCACTCTTGTAGGGATTCAACAGAAATATATCATTGTAACATGTAACTATGTGGCCAGAGAGCAAGGACTAACCAAGCTGATGACAGTTAAAGATGCTCTAGAGAAATGCCCTGATCTTGTTCTTGTTAGTGGAGAGGACTTAACAAACTACAGACATATGTCCTACAAAATATCCAGTATGTATATCAATGTTTGGTTAAAGATACATTATTTCATGACCATGAAGAGAGCTTGAAGCTTTTTTGTAATTAACATTTTATTTCCCATATTGTACAAACCTGTAACAAGTATTTTTTTGTTCAGCATAATGTGCTAGCAATCAGCATAAACAGTAAAAACCGTGCCAAAGACCACCCCAACTAAAGACCACTCTTCATAACAAATGCCACCCTTAGACGACACTGCAATGATTAAACAGAATAGAGAATCCTCTTGATAAGGAACACTTGACTTTACAGGACAGGTTATGTTTCTCCTTTGTCCCGCCTTGATCACCGGTATGACTGTAATTATGTAACAAAGTATATTATAGTCAGTTTCATTTTTCAATTGAACCTATATTGATTATGAGAGCTTGAAGCTAATTTTAGCCTCTTTAAAGTGTGCATTCTTGGAACTAATGAGTTATGGTATCATAGCGAAACATTGTTTCTTTGAAGGCCTCAGACTTACAATTCTTAGGTTGAGAAGCAGACATCTTAATCACTAGATCAGATCACCAGATAGAAAAATTCTTTTATTGCTGGTGATATTGAATTCTTGTGTCCCCTGCTACAGAGAAGTGGTGACATATAGGGATTACTTTTTTGGCATCTCGTCTGTCCATTCTTCCGTCACAAAACTTGTCTGGACTACTCCTCAGGAACTACTGTTGCAATTTCATCTTAACCTTACAGGAATGTACAAGACTACATGTGCATTTTTGGTTCAATAATTTTTGAGTTATGGCTCTTTAATGATTTTTATTTCTTAAAGTTTTGTCCAGACTTCTTCTCTTATACTGAATGAAACACTGGATTGATCAATTCCTCAGGCTCAAGTATTTGCGAATATTTAATGGGGTTTCGGGTTGAATTATGTATTTGCTGAATTATGGCCCTTGAATAAAAAAACTATTTTGCCCTGTTACTGATTTTTGTGTATCCTGCTTCACAGTAGCTGCAACATGCAGTTGGCTATCATCAAGGGACACATGTGATCACTGATCACTCTTGTTAATTTTGACAGGCCTATAAAAATCAATTTATAAAATACACTGCTTTGGAAGTTTCTTTTTTCTCAGTCATGCATACCTACTCAGTTAAATGTTATGTGTGAAAACAATTTAAACATGATACATGTAAGTGTCAATGTATGGGTCATATTATTTGTCAATAGTTAGGGTCAAATGTGAGGTCAAACACATTTGTCAAGAGTTAAGGACTTATGTGAGGTCAAACACAATTTCAAAGGTTAAGGTCAAACACATGTTATAAAGGTAAAAGTCTCATGTGAGGTCAAACACATTTGTTGAAGGTTTTGTAACCTTTACTAATAGTTCTGACTTCTGACTTTATCATTAAATATATATTTGTTTTTTCAATTAATCAAGTAAAAAGGCAGGGTAGCGTCTGAATTTATTATTAGAAAATGCCAAAACTTATTGACTGTGGTAAAACCTGTTTCCAGTATTATGTTTTTGTTATCGCATGCTAAGGGTCAGTTGCAAAGCATTGATATCCTGATTTTTATGCACATCTAATTCTATTGTTTCCTCTGTTACAGATTATCTACAGAAATATTGTCCTCTTGTGGAAAGATTGGGTTTTGATGAGAATTTTCTAGATATAACAGAGCTTGTGAATGATAGAATACACAAACAAAGTGTTGCCATGACAACAGAGGTGAAAGGTCATATATACCTGCCAGAGGGAGATACAGATGGTATGTTTATATTTACTCCATTTTATGAATAGCTCTAATTGTCACTAATAATGATGATTTTACAATTTTGAGTTTGTTATATATCAGTCATAATTAAATTTAAAGAAAGCAGTTAGGTGGCTTTTTGCTATATTATTCATCATATTTTAGGGAAAATTTCACGATATGTACTGACTGAGAGCAAACAATACAGACTAAAATCTTTGTCTGCACTTGTCACATAGATACATGTACATTCAGTTGGGCCTAAAATAAAATTTAATTTGTTTCCCCTTCCCTACCTACCCAACAAATTTGCCCCTACCCAAAAGAATTTTTCAGGTTCTTAGGGGATGAAAGTATTTTTTTTCTTTCAGAGTACAATAAGTTTAATCTAATCTGATATTTTAGACAGCTAGCATAGTTAGTAAATTGTTACATATGTCAGATGTGAATATGGTAATGCATGTACATATACTATTGCACTTGATTAGTTAATTTTAATAGTTCATTATACATATATGCAGATTATTTATTATAATATGCACATATAAAACAAATATATTTTTATTTTAATGGGTTGGGAAGAGGAAACAAACATATTTTTATTTTCGGCCTTGTCACTAGCAGGCTACAGTAAAGTTAAAAAGGATGGTAATTTTATCACTATCTCACAACAGATTAAAGCTCAATGTAGAGCTTAAATTGAATAGAACAATTTTCTCATTTTAAAATATGTCTTTTATATATATCAAAGATAAATCCTTATGATGATTGTCAGCTGTAAGTTATATTTAAGTAAATTGCACACAGAATAATATAGTAAATTATGGTTCATAAACATATTTGTTTTGTAACTGCAATAACTAATTAATGTACTAAATTGAAATCCTCCAACTTGGTATTGTGGTAATTTTTACATTGTGTTTATTCTCTGCAATATGGTGGTTTTATTTTTGGCACAAAAAGCTTGTGATATTCTTAATTCACTATAAAGGGGCATGTAGCATGGATGTTACAATTTGACAGTCACTGAAAGGGAGTGGTATTTTCTTGTATAGGGAATGGGTTACAGCAGACTGGTACCATACAGTATATAGTTGACTTAAAAACCCTTGCTCTATTTGTGTTATAAACTCATCCTGCTATGAACTTGCAATATAACAGCATGATATAAAATTGATTTCATTAAAAAAAACCCTGTTATTAACCATCCAACTGCATAAGATATAGGAAAACTTCACAGATATAATATAGAGAATAGCATGCAAGTGACTCGGCAAAGCCTTATCCTTCTTTTTTTCTTAGCCTTGCCTGATAAATTTTGTAATATCAGACACTTGTTATGTATTCTATTTATCATGTTTTTCAATTTTAATAGTCATGTTTATTTTTTTATCCCCCGCCGAAAAATTTCGGCGGAGGATATAGAAATAGTCTCCGACCTTCCGTCCGACATTTTTGTCCGGAGCATATCTCTAAAAGTATTTGAGTTATCAACTTGAAACTTCATAGGTGGATAGACCTCATTGAGGAGGAGTGCAGTGCACAAGAATGATAACTCTACCTTGCATGATTTTTGAGTAATTGCCCTTTGTTATTTTTCAAAATTGATTTTTGTCCAAAGCATAACTCCAAAAGCCTATGAGATATTAACATGAAACTTCATAGGTGCATAGATCTCACTCAGGAGGTGTGCAGTGCACAAGAATGATAACTCTACCTTTCATAATTTTTGAGTTATTGCCCTTTGTTATTTTTCATACCTATTTTTTCACCTGAGTGGAGCATAACTCAAAAAGTGTTTGAGATATCAACATGAAATGTCATAGGTGGATAGATCTTATTGAGGAGAAATGTTGTGCGCAAGAATGATAACTCTTCCCTATACAATTTTTGAGTTATTGCCCTTTGTTTTTTTCATGCTATTTTGTCCAGAGCTTATCTGAAAAAGTATTTGAGGTATCAACTTGAAACTTCATAGGTGGATGGATCTCATTGGGGAGGAGTGCAGTGCACAAGAATGATAACTCTACCCTGCATAATTTTTGAGTTATTGCCCTTTGTTATTTTTCATTCTATTTTGTCCAGACTTTATCTCAAAAAGTATTTGAGGTATCAACTTGAAACTTCATAGGTGGATGGATCTCATTGAGGAGGAGTGCAGTGCACAAGAATGATAACTATACCTTTCATAATTTTTGAGTTATTACCCTTTGTTATTTTTCATACCTAATTTTTCACCTGAGTTGAGCATAACTCAAAAAGTGTTTGAGATATCAACATGAAATGTCATAGGTGGATAGATCTTATTGAGGAGGAATGTTGTGCACAAGAATGATAACTCTTCCCTATACAATTTTTGAGTTATTGCCCTTTGTTTTTTTTCATGCTATTTTGTCCAGAGCTTATCTGAAAAAGTATTTGAGGTATCAACTTGAAACTTCAAAGAGGGATGGATCTCATTGAGGAGGAGTGCAGTGCTTAAGAATGATAACTCTACCCTGCATTATTTTTGAGTTATTGCCCTTTGTTATTTTTCAAAATTAATTTTTGTCCAGAGCATAACTCAAAAAGCCTTTGAGATATCAAAATGAAACTTCATAGGTGCATAGATCTCACTCAGGAGGTGTGCACTGCACAAGAATGATACCCCTACCTTTTATTATTGTTGTGTTATTGCCCTTTGTTCTTTTTCATACTTAATTTTTCAATTCATTTTTTTTTTCAAAAAGTATTTGAGGTATCAACTTGAAACTTCATAGGTGGATAGATTTTACTGAGGAGGGATGCAGCACACAAGAATGATAACCTACCCTGCATTATTTTTCAGTAATTGCCCTTTGTTATTTTCAGCCATCAGTGTTCACATAGGTTTCAAATCTGTAATCACTATAGCCATCAGTTTTCATTACCAAAAAGACCTCTTAAAATGGAATTATTCTGCTCTACTACATATACATTCTTCCAATGAGCAATCACATTCGGCGGGGGATGGCCATGTTGACATGGTTCTTGTTAAAATTTAAAATAAAAAAAAAACAACTGTGAAGAACCTCTTGAGTTCATGCTGCACGCAGTTATATACCAAGGATCATGTCTTTAAGAGAGTCCCAAATGTTTTAGGCAAAAGTAAGAGAGATTTTAATATTAAAAAAAATCTATTTGATTTAATGTTTTCGAACTAGTAAGAGGTAAAATATTCCATTCTCTTCATTTTATTTAAATATGTATTGATGAGGTGTCTAACAAAGCTGAGAGGACTGATAAAGCTAGATTTATCATCAACAGAAATCATAGTAATGACATGACTCACACACTTATGTGGTTGTATTCTGATAACAAAGGTATGACATTATTTCCAGTCAGAGAATGATGTTGTCACTTATCTTCTGACATTTTAAGAGAAAGTTCTGTAGGTGTTTAATCTTGATGGTATATTTACAGTATCATGCTGTTGTGGATGTAAGGAACGCCTCACTATAGGCTCACATATTGCACAGGAAATTCGTGCTGGACTTTTCAAGGAACTAGGTATCACCTGCTGTGCAGGGATAGCCCATAACAAGCTCTTGTCAAAACTAGTGGCAAGTACACACAAACCCAACCAGCAGACAACCCTGTACCCTCACACTGTGAATCTGCTGATGTCAAGTCTAAAAAGTGTCAGAAATATTCAAGGTGAATAGCTTAAATACTGCTTTATTAATACTTAATTACGATGTTTTACTTGTGTACATTTTATCACATTAATTATTTTAGTTAGTTAAGTGTTTCATTGCACATAAATAAGGAAAATTATCAAATGATTGAATTACATGTAATAGAAGTAGATTGATGATCCAGTGGTTAAAGTGCTGCCTCTCAATCATGTCATAGTATGTGTGAGTCCTGTCCATGCTGGGGTCATACCAATGTTATCTTTATATAACACAAGTATTGGCAGTGTTAGAAACTGTACTTGACAATGTTTAAATGGTTTTATATCATGCTAAAATAAATATATCTATACTAAATTAGAAATGAAATCAATCATTATTATTCTATCCTGATATCAGGAATTGGTCACACAACTGCACGACGATTGAAGGAAGTAGGGGTGGTCAGTGTAGCAGACCTACAGAACGTTGACCAATCAGTACTCGAGGAGGAGTTTGGACATGCTTCAGTGGAAACTATGAAGAAATTGTGTTTAGGCATTGATGATAGTCCAGTTATAGCATTTGGTCTACCTCAGGTAAATCATGAACATTTGAGCTGTGTCACGACAAAACCAACATAGTGCGTTTGCGACCAGCATGGATCCAGACCAGCCTGCGTATCCGCGCAGTCTGATCAGGATCCATGCTGTTCGCTAACCAACCCTATTACAAGTAGAGAAACTGATAGCGAACAGCATGAATCCTGATCAGACTGCGCGGATGAGCAGGCTGTTCTGGATCCATGCTGGTCGCAAACGCACTATGTTGGTTTTGTCATGACACAGCTCATTTCTATTGTGTTGTATACAGGTAGGGATATCAATTGGACTGGTGATTGCCAGCCCTTTTCTTTTAATGCCTGTCTGATTACCTGTTGAAATGCTTTGACGATAGGTTCAAACTTTGCAGCATTTCATTTGCATGTCTAAGGTTTGAGAAAGAAACAGGAAAGATGATTTTGGCTAACATAGAGTGTTACAAACTAAGCTACACCAGGGGTCAAAACCATCTCACCTGCTGGAGTTGCATAGACTGCAATAATTCAAACTCATTTAGTCGCCTCTTACGATCATGCAGGGTTATAAGGTGACTGCAATTCTGCTGCTTTAGCCCATAAAATAAACCCCTCGACCACAAGGGAATTGCAGCGGTTCAGATCATGTTTGTTTATACTAGTTATATTGAGAACCAAGGTAGCACAAATTACCTTTCTTGTTTGGAAAGGCTACAGAGGAAATTATTTTGCTAAGGCTAAAGTAAGTCCTTCTAGGATTTATTAGTTTCCTTATAGAATCATAACTTGTTAGTTGTGTTAGTGGATGTGAGGAGTGAATGGGGGAAAGAGATGAAATATTTCATTGGATATTGATTAGAATAAATATTTCTTTGCAAGAAAATTTGAATTGTTTTTTGCAGATTTAAATATTCAAATAACACTGTAAAATTAAAGTAATGGTTATCAAATTTTTCAGCTGTTAAAATATATTAATTATGGAACTGTCATTGATTCAGTGCAAAGCATATCATTCTAACACTATCGGATTTTTTTCTATATAAACAAAGAAGGCCCGAAGCGTGCATTATTCTACAGCAATGCACTCGCCGTTCTTATTATCTCCCTGTGTATTTTCACATTGAGGGCGCCATTTTGTTTGAAAAATCTGATAAATAAAAACAATATTTTGTCGAATTTTGTTGTGAAAACTATCTAGAATGAAAGAAAATGGTCTAACTAAGAAAATAAATCCGAACACCAATATCTTTAGTTCAGTCGTTAACACTGTACAGACATTTAAAGTGTTGTTTACGTGACGTCACAATGTAGCGCCAAACAGCACGTGTTAAACAATCAAAATCAAGTACGCTATTTTAACGTCGCAGACGAGTTAAGTTTTACATTTATTTCACTTTTAATAATTTGTATTTCGCTTGGAAAATTATAGACTGAAATAAAATAAACAAACAAAGTTTTATCAACGTTTTCAAAATTCGTTATTCTCAAAATGTTTCTACACACGGTAGATTTAACGACATTTTTTCAACCCACTGGAACGGCCTTTAAAGAACGTTTCTGGCGAAAGAAATTTAACCGCCAAACATAAAGTCCAACTTTATAATAATAATTATATTTATTCTTGACGTGTTAGAATGGAAATAGATATTAATTCTTCGTGCATTATTGTATAATAATGCACGTTTTTCGTTCAAATGCTTTGTAATTAATCACTCAGGCCTATCGGCCTTCGTGATTATATTACTACGCATTTGAACTCAAGCCGTGCATTATTCTACAACAATGCACTCAGAATTGATATCTATTTCCTAAACAATATATCAATATTGGATGAAAAATATCAACAATACTGTTGAATACACCTATAATTACCATAATTACTTGTCTGTCATTCAATTTTGATTTCAGTTAAAAACATGTTCTGTTCAGTGTCTTGTTTATAAAAGCCCATTGCATGATTTTTTTCCAGCCATATTTTTTGTCATCATTGCTTTGAAATGTTTCCACTATTATATATAACAACAGCATGATGTTAAACAGCTTCTGTACATGTATATGTTTTGGGTGAATTTTCATAATTCCTTGACATTTAATTTGATTTAATTTCTGTGACATTATGCCAATGAGATAAATTAATTAAATATTTCAAAAGATTGACTGTTATAATATTGATTAATTAACAGCTGATATTAGAAAATGTTAAAGATAAACTATAAATCTGCCTATAATATAAAAAGACAGCCCCACTCTTTAAATATAAATTAAAAGATACAAGTAAATTCTGATTGATATTTATAGAAATTACCTTGGGCCACATGAGTTATTTATCATTCATGTGAAGTAAGATAGAGGATATGAAGGAATTATGGCAATGTAACTTTATTTGGAATTTCACCTGTTCACTAAATATATACTCTTGGATGGGCATTATTTCACTTTTATTAGTCAAAATGTATTGATTATTGATCAACAGAAAAATATCAACAATATATCAATATTGTCTCTATCAATGAGAGCTCTAATTAATTATTCTTATGATAGTTGAGAGCTTATTATAGACAGGTATGTATTGATATTACAGTTTTATTGAGAAAATGTGTGTGCATTTTATTTTTGCATGTTATCAGACATTAAGTGATGAGGATTCCTTCAAGAAGTGCAGTAATGTTGAAGATGTGAAGTCAAAAATCAAACAATTAATCAACAGTTTGTTACACAGGTAATTTTTTCATTGTGTTCAGGATTATTTTTCCTCAAGTAAATTTTTTAAAGTGTAAACAAAATGTTATCCAGGTAAATAGTTAGTAGTGACAAAATTATTATACATGTAAAATCTTCATATCAAAAAGAAACATTAAATTGGTAAATTTTCAAGTAAAAAGCATAATGTTTCTTCTTGAAGGTTCTAAATATTTTTACTTGCACTAGATAGAGATTTTGAATTTATTGCATAAAGGTATTTATTTAAATGTTTTGTAAATATCTTAATTTATGGGATTGGTCGCGTTGAGCAAAAGTCGCTTAATACATTAAAATATAGAGAGAAAATGATCGGGGGAATTTAAAGTGGTCGTTTAAGACAAAAGTCGCTTAAGACACGTGGTCGCATGGGCAAGTTAGACTGTACTTGTATTGCTTAGTATCTGTAAGTTTGTTTCATGTTTTTTATGAAAACTAAAATCTTGTAAAAGCATTTTTAACCACCAATAAGTTTATGATTGTAAAATTGATGATTTATGAAAGTTGTTAGAGTAATCTGTAAAGACTGCTCCTGACATTATTTTCTGTTGCAGACTTTTAGAAGATGGGAGGAGACCACAAACGCTGAGATTAAGTGTACGTAGAATGCTGAAGACAAACAGATACAATAATCGTGAGAGCCGACAATGTAGTATACCATCCTCGGTTTTCAACAAGTTCTCGTCTGGTAATAATACATGTATATAATATTTGTACATTTAGTGAAGATCTATGCCATATTGAATGAAATCCTATCTAAGGGAGAGGAACTATATAAGTTTTCTTTCTAACCCTTTCAATTTATGTAACAATTATACACATATATTATACCTCATTTGCATATGCTCTTCTATATTTAATATGACGTCATCGGGTCCATAAACCGCATACAGACCGGGGGCAGTCCATAATTCTTGTGAAGACCGTTTAAACGTAACTATCACGACATGCGAATTTCATGACATAACTGTCAAAATGGCCAGTCGATTCGCCTTTTTATCAGGGACATAAATTTATTAAATGTTGATCAAAATTCATGATTTGTCTTAAATTTATTTATAGATTTTATTTATACAGTTTGTGAAATTCTTAAAGTCCTGGTTTTTTTGCCTAGTACAATGTAACATTAAATATTTAATTTGATTAGCAAAAATGGAATATTAAAAGAAGAACATGATTTTTTGTTGCATCGCTTGAAAATAATAAAACAAAATCCGACTAGGGTTTGAGATATTTCACACACTGAACAAGTAAAATTATTATTTGAAAGCAAATAATAGTAAAATGACAGCACAAAACAAATGGATGAAAGGATTTAGATTCGGTATAATATAACAAATAAAACATGGGCTTGAGGGCAAAATGCAAGTTTACGGACTGGTTGGTCAGACCTCGGAAGGAATATGGCCCTCAGCTGCGCTTCGGGCCATATACCTTCCGAGGTCTGACCAACCAGTTCGTAAACTTGCATATTGCCCTCAAGCCCATGTTTTTTTTGTTAAATAAAATGTAATATATGTAAAATATTAAACTAAGTCCTATCTAGAACAAAAGAATCATGTCAAACAAGTATATTTTACATTCAGATTCAAGTAATATCCAGTCAGCCTCTGTTAACATTAGTTGCATAAAATTCTTCATCTTTTTAGTCATGTTAACTTAAAAAATCTTTACAATTATTTTCATTCTTTTTTTCTTTTAGATAATCTTACCCATTCAAGCAGTCAACTGGAGACTTTAGCGTATGGCTTATTTACAAAGATGGTGGCTGTTAAATCACCTTTCCATCTTACGCTTATCAATGTTGCTTTTACAAAACTGGAACAAAAATCATCCAATGATATTTCAAGCTTTTTTTCTCCAAAAAAACAATCCAGTCAAAGTGCTCCAACACAGCCAGGTGACCGTGGGAGTGCTGACACAGGGAGAACAACTGAAGCAGTACCATTTGAATGTACAGCAAGTTCAAAGCAAAAAGGATTAGGTTTAAATGACAAGGAATATTCTCCTGGATTAACCACAAAGAAAGGTGTATCAGGTATTCAAAAATGGGTTATAAAACAACCTACAAATAGTGAACAATCTTGTACAGGTAATTCAAGTAAGGGTAATTTAAGTTCCCAAGTTTCAACCAGTGCTTATTCAAACACAGAATCTTTTGAATCAAGAATGTCTTTGAAAAGACTTGCTAGTGACAATAATAATAGAACTTGTAATGAAAAAGATGAAAATGTCGCCAAAAGAAAATGTAACAGTACGGGTAGTTTTAAACTTCCGTCAAACATTGCAGAGATTCTGCCCCAGGATTTAGACCTAGATGTTTTCTTAGAGCTACCACCTGATATTCAGAAAGATATACTTGACAATACACCAGTGCATCACAGTTCTAGAAATAAGAAACACACTGATCATGGTCAAGATACATATACTCAAAAAAGTAGTTTGAAATCAAATTTAGGTATGCCAAGTACATCATTGCCAACTAGTGAAAATAATAGTTTGAATAATGAAAACAAAACAAAGAAGAATATTCACACCGCTAACAGACATTCAGGCACTGCTAGTGATGCTATTGTTCAGACAGGCAGTACTGTCTTGTTAAAAGATGCTCAAATTGAAACATGCTTTAAAAATTCTTACACATCTAACAAGGATGGAAACTGTACAGTAGGTAAAAACAGTGCAGAAAGTTTTCATTGTTCCAGTAAAACTAATGTTAATCTAAATATGCCAGCCTCTAACAAACTAAGTAATTGTGATAAAAATTCAAAGGAAACTACCTCAGAGGCTGTTGCTGTACCAAATAATGTTGACCCAGCAGTTTTTGAGAGCTTGCCTCCAGATATAAGGGAAGAATTAACACAACAATGGAAAAAAGAGAAAGCCAGCAATGCAACAAATTCTGTGAAACCAGCAGGCCAGAAGAAACTGTTCTTTAAATCCCCAAAACCATCTACCTCAAATAACATTACAGATTATTTTAGCAAGAAATGATAATTATATACCAGTAGTGCTATACTAAAGGTGTTTTCTTGAAAAGTTTTTAACCCAACAAAATAATGTTTCCTAATTTCTAACATATTTTGTTTGAATAAGTCAAGGAAATAGATATCAATTTTGCGTTGTTGTTGTTGAAAAATCCACGGTTCAAGTTCAAAAAGAAAAATCAATATATATTTCACTTCTTCATGTAACATTAATAAAAATATGTTGAACTACACTGAGCATAGAAGTAATTTTCCTGAGATAATTTGGTTTATTGATGTCATATCTGATGTCATATGATATATTCTTGTATTTATGTTGTGTATATATATCGTTATAATGCACTTACATGTTACTTACATCATTAATTGGTTTTGCGGTAAATATGTAAATCCAAAGACAAGAAATATATTAACAATTTTTTAAAAAAAAATTGGACAGTTTAAAATTTCAACATCATGTTATGGTATGCTAGAATTTTACAATAAAACCAATTCTAAAAGCAAGATAATGAATTATAATCAGAATGATAAAGATTTCACTAGTTTTACAATTTTCATACTGTTTTGAAAGCTGATTTATGCCAACTTTCATGAATATTATAAAAATGTATTTAAAAATAAAAAATATTGTGAAGTGAAGAAAGAAAGTAATTAAAATACACATTGCTATTTTTTAATCTTTGATTTATCTGGAACACATGTTTCTACAACAAATCCACAGTTATTAGGTTGAGAAGTAACAAATGTTACAATTAAGAGCATTATTTGTACTATTTAAAGAAAGATACAAGGTGAATATGAAAAACAGAAAACTGTGTTCCTATTGGATAGAGTGGCTGCCATTATTTTGACCTCAAGAAACATCTTTGTACAAGGTCTATTTGGAGACTTGTCTGAGCTTTAAGAGTATAGATTTATGTTTCATTTATTTTCTTACTTATTTTAGGAGTAAAAATCTTGTGGTTTTGACTTGTTTTAACAGCGTTTGTGTATTTCAACAATTTACATTAGTACATGTAATTACTCTCGAGGGATCTCCAGATTTTAAACAGCAGGTGTCTAGAGTTCTGTAAGAAATGCCTCTTACTTCATCAGTGTTGTCATTTATTTCTGGTACAAATATACTTTAGTTTTGTTTGGTTTTATGGCACATCAACACAATTGAGGTCATATGTCGCCAAAACAGGCAAACAGGAAGGATGATTTTGGTTAGCCTCAGGTGTTACTAACTAAAAGCAACACCAGGGGTTAAAACCATTTCACTTGCTGGATAGACTCCTACAATTCAAACCCATTTCGTTGCCTCTTATATGATCATGCAGGGATAAATGATAGCTGCAGTTCTGATGCCTCAACCTTTAGAGGCAACCCCTCAGCCACAAGGAGTATTTCTTATAATTAGGAATCACTGATTTAAATACTTTAGTGATGAGGTTTGTATTCAGCTTTAAGACAGTGCAAAATAATATGGCAAATGTCGGAAATCTCTGTTTTTCAGCATATACCAACAGTACATATATTATTCATTCCAGTTTCCAAAGTTATTTTAAGAGTATAGAGTTCATTTAATCTATGTTATTGATTTTTTAGGAACAAGAATGTTTCATCTGTTAATTTTACAATGCTTATAAAAACCAAATCAGTGTATGCGTGTTCCTCTATGTTTAATACATTCCCTGATCCTGTGCATTCTGGATCACAGACCCCCAATATTGTCCTGTTCTGTCACAATAGAAACAAGCAAATTCGTTGAATTTATATCCCCCGCCAAGTACTGGCTATTACTAACACAACAACTGGACATAAGGCTTTATTTATATATATATCATGGCATAAACAGTAAAATTCTTTGAACTTGATAAATATTCAGGGCAATAACAGAGCCATAACTGTGTGTTAAATAGTAATATCTGGAAATGCCAATGAGATGTATGCATACTGCATAACTAATCAAGGGCCATAAATCTGAGTTATAAGTGTCTGACCGAACAAGGCGACTATATGCACATCTCCTCTTCGTATCCCATAAAGTTTCATTGAATTCCAGCCAGTAGTTACAGAGAAGTAGCACTGAAACTATTATTGCTCTGGTTGTATACTGCATAAGTTATCAAGGGCCATAACTCTAAGTTAAAATGTCTAACCCGAACAAGGCAATGATATGTGCATCTTCTCTTGGTATTGAAGGTTCCAATAAAGTTTTGTTGAATTCCAGCCAGTAGTTGCAGAGAAGTACCGCGGAAACGATTTTTGCTCTATATGCATTCTGCATAACTAATCAAGAGCCATAACTCTGAGTTAAAGTGTCTGACCCAAACAATGTGATGTTATGCGCATCTCCTCTTGGTATTGAAGGTTCCAATAAAGTTTTGTTGAATTCCAGCCAGTAGTTGCAGAGAAGTAGCGCAGATATGATTTTTGCTCTATATGCATACTGCATAACTAATCAAGGGCCATAACTCTGAGTTAAAGGGTCTGACCAGAACAAGCCCACAAAACAACGCCAAAACTATATCCCCCTCCTGATTCCATCAGCGGGGGATAATTACCTGCCCGGATGAATGAAATCCATAGTTAAATTTTGAAGTTTAAATTAAAGCTTTTATTCACTTAATGTTTTTGAAGAGTAAATTTCACAGTTATTTCATAAGTATAGATCTTTAACAACATTATACCCAAATTTGAGTAAAAAGTTCATTCTAGTTTCATGATCTAGTTACTTCAAAGTTTTCATAACAATACTTGTCCAATAGAATTCAGTATTGTATTCAACAAAATACAGTGTATTCATAATAATTACCGTAATACACAAGGTACTTAAAACCATGCAGTTCTGATATGTTCTATTACAGTACCATATTTTGATAAATGCTGTATCAATTGCAAGAATGAATCAAGTCTATATACATGTATAAACTTCTCACTGTTTTATCCTTTACACCTGGAATTTTCTATGTTTCAAAAGTGGAACAGTTAAGAAACATTCCATGCACGAGATCTCATGTGGTCATATGACCAAACAGGCAGGAATTTTTTAAACAGATGTGGAAAAGCATGCTCTCTCAACCTTAAACAGGCTAGCTTTTTAGAGAAGTACACCTAAATTTAACCCCATACCCAGGTGCTTGGACTGAACAAGATATTATCAGACTGTACAATGTTGGAGGCTCAAATTTTGTATTAAGATATGGAAATCTCTTAAACTTTAAATCAAAACGTGGCAAATCCATCAATAATGCTCTAAGATTATCTAAACTACTTGAAAATTGTTAACATAAAATGCTTGTTCTCTAAGGCACAAGAAGATTTAGAGTTGTGCAGACTCAAAAGAGTATCAGACATTGGTATATGTAAAATCCAGAAAAACTTCACAATAATTCATCTTGAGACCTTTGTATATCCATAAAATTGATCTATATTTAGCACAGATAAAAACAACAAAAATTGAAATGGTTTATTTATTGCATTCCTCATATATTATAGAGCTTACCATAAACTCTCTCAGCAACACAATAAAATAATAGTATGTCATCTAACAAACAATGAGAAAGTCTATATTCTGTATTAAAACATTGTAGTCTTGTAGGATATTTTTGTTAAGTCTTTCCATTACAACAACTTTCCTTTTTCTTCTCAAAAATAACAGCAGAACATGAATGTTGTAACAGACTGCTCAATTACTTCTCATTTATAAATACTTATAGTTCTATTCTGTAAAAGAACTTTTACTAAAAATATTTCAAAAGAGCACAATAGTTCATTAAAAGGAACAATATGACAGTTTATTACTCACAATATTTAATTAATTGTAGTTTAATCTTTAAAATTCTTATTTAATTTTGTTGTGTTAAAGTTATTTCAATACCCAAATAAATAATCAATGTAGTTTAATGAGTAAGTTTATCAAAGACTTGTATGTTAGTTTATTATCACACTTCTTCCATCTTCTCGGCATCATCTTCCTCGATAACTTGTACCAACTTCTTCTCCATCTTTACTGACCGTGCTGTAACAAAAATAAATATGATAAAACTTTAGATGGTCTTAATGCCCTCATGAGTCTGTTTAAAATTATCAATCACAAACATATAAGTTCTACCAAAATGTTTTCTCGATCAGTATCACTATCCTATCCTATCCAAGAAATGGCTATGCATTTATGATTTAAAACAAGAGCCGGTGAACCGGGTGATGCTCAACAAATAGGTCTTGGACACAGGAAGGTATACCTCTTGTAGTGTCAGAGTTATGTCACAGACAAAGTTCAAAGTGTAAAAATAACCCAAATGTTGTGCATGACACGTTGTCTCAATATGGTGATCATTTCTGTGAAATAGTTTTAAAATCCGACTTCAAATAACAAGTTATGGGCTGGACACAAAGTCGGGACGTACGTACATACGTACGTAGGTACAGACGGACAACCTGACGACTATATGCTCCCCCAAAATTATTCGGGGAGCATGAAAAGTAACACACATAATTTTAAAAAGATATAACTGACCTGCAGGTGATTTGATAAGATGTATGTTTTTCTCAACTTCCTTTAAGTCTGCCTCTTTACGTAATTCTTTGCCTTTCTTTAATCTGTAAATAATGAATAATATTTGTCATGTGTTGCAATTTAGATAAGAATATCAATCCCAAGGGTATCTGCCCAATGTGTGGTAAAAAGGCTTATCCAATGCAGCACTACATTATGATTTGTAACTACACTGAATATATATAGTTATTTTTTTTGAAGATGCACCAAGACAGTAAAGGTCAGATGGGGATTTTCCAGCTTTACTGGTGGAGAAAGACCTTGGGTGTCCGTCTATGCATTATTCAAACACAAACAGGCACCTGAGTAGAACAACTGATGTTCCGCAAGCTAGCTGGACAGCTTTATTACATGAAAGAACCCAAGATCCCTCACAGGATTCAAACCCAAAGAGGTGGGAAGAAGTTGTTTGAAGTCAACAACCTACAAATACACAGAGTAATCACCATACAAGATGATCATGATAGTCCTAGATATCTCGTGTGAGATACATTGAAAGAAAAGGTCATAATTTTTAAAAGCAAATGTAAGTCATTGGGATAGTAGGGCCATTTTGTCAAGAAGACCATGGTTCATTTAGCAGAGGTCCACTAGGCATAACAATATGCCAAAACTTAAGCTTGAAATATTTTACCACATGAAGATTAAAATATGTTAAGCTATGGAAGTCTATGTAAACTTAACAGTTTCCAGGATGGGCCTAATTTCACCTCTCGGAGGTAAATTTTAATTTTTTGTAGACGGTGGCAGGGTAATGTTACATACCAAGTTATTTAACCCTAGGCAATTAAGTTTCTGAGATTATTGAAGTTTCTTTCCTACACAATTCAAATTTCAGGTTAACACCCCCCCCCCTCCCCCACACACACACACATGGAAGAAGTTACACAAAGCGTATACTGTTTTACATTTTACTTGGTAAAAGAAACCTTTAAATAGCTACATTTTGTATATCTAATAAAATTTATTCACATTTAAATTATATTGTTTCCATAATCTGATGGACCATTCTTGAAAAAGTTGTAACATAGAATTTCTCTCTTATTTTACACACATGAATATTGTAGGAAATCAGAATAAGATGTTCTGGAACACAATATGCGTTTTTACTGTTATTTATAAAACTTTTTTAAAGGTCAACTGAGTAATTTTTCTAGACTTTACAACTTTTCCTTTAGAGAAGATTTAAATTATTTTTCTTATATTAGCCTATGTTGACAAATTGAACACATTTTAACTAAAAATGTAAATAAAATAATTTACCTGTTTAGGATAAATTGGTTCTGTCTTCTGGTTTTAATTTCTGTTATTCTTTGCATGGCTTTCACTGTAATATATAAATAGTGAAAATATTAAAAAATACTTATCATACCACCAACCAAAAACAAATTTGGCACCATTCTACAAAAGTATATGTATTTCCCCTATCTTTTTTTGAAAAAAAATACATGTAACAAACATCATGAGTATAATACTGTATTGTTACTTTTGCATGTATATGCAGCAAAAAATGCCTGAAGTTATCACAAGGGAAAACAACATGAAAATCCCCCCACCCATATCCCCTTTCAGGTAATGTTCAGCTCTGGTAACAGATACTGCTAAGCAGCTTGTCCTTAAAATCCTTTAGGAGATCAGCAATCATTTTGTTAATTCCATCGTCGGATACCCACGATTGATAAACATGTCACACAACATGCAATCATTGATAAATGTTAATGGTTCGGCCGTGGATATCCGACGATGGTTAATTCATGCTAGTGTGTAAGCACTGATCTGACATTGACATTCCGAAAAATGTATTCAATACATTTTTTATTTTGGAAAATTTGCTGGTAAAAGTAAGATTTCTTTTCAAAGTAAGAAACAACTTATTAATATATATTATAAAGCCATATGAGCCCCGTCATGACAAAACAAACATAATGTGTTTGCGACCAGCACGGATCCAGACCAGCCTGCGCAGTCTGATCAGGATCCATGCTGTTCGCTTACAGATCTTATAACAAGTAAAGAAACTGATAGCAAACAGCATGGATCCTGATCAGACTGCACGGATACGCAGACTGGTCTGGATCCATGCTGGTTGCAAACCCATTATGTTGACGCGGCTCAATTATAACTTTTGAAAAGATTTGACTAGTATGAATATCATGGTATTAACTAATACACACTACAAGTTTAAATTGTGGTATTGGTTATAATTGTTGCACAAACAATGAAATGGTCATATGGTGACATTATAGTTTTTCTGGAGGAAGACCTCTGGCGCCCCTCTATTATTTCAGGCACAGACAGGCCCCTATGTAGTACCACTGATGTTCCGTAAGCTGGCTGGATAGCTTCCTTATATGACGGAACAGGCAAGACTCAAACCCACAGTGGCAAGGGGCAAGTGCTTTAAGTTAAAGATATTAACCACTCGGCCACAGATGATCCCACAAAATTTAGGTATTACTTCAATACTTAAATACTTGCAGAGTGGTTAACGCTTCGAACAAGTAATGTAATGATACTAACCGCATGGGTTCAAACCCCGTCAGGGGCAAATCGTTGTTTCTTTGAGCAAGAAAGTTTGCACTCATTGCTCTGCAGAATTGGATTCGAAAGTGTGTCTATAAGCTTAATGAAGCTTCCTACATAATTGAACTAAAATAAATTATGTAAAACCCAATACTTTAAATAGTGCTCTCATCCATATATTTGTTGTATCAATGTTTAGTATAGACTTTAACACTTACCTGTATTTGTCCAAAGTTCTCTGTTATATTTTACAGGAACATTCCTTCTCTTTTCAAATTCAAATGATGGATCGACTGCCAAATCTTTTCCTGCAGCTTTTCTGAAAGCCTTTGTCCACCTTGATTTTCTTGGGTTACGCTTCTTTTTAAAAGCTTTGTGACATTTTGAACGACAAAATTTGAAAATCTGAAAAGTTATAAAATATTACTGCAATAAAGTGTTTTCAAACAACACCTATGACGTACAGATTGTAGGTATTGGTTACAATCTGTTTCATCACGCACGAAAAATTAAAAGTTGCATTTGATCATTTCTAAAATACAAAATTATTGCATACAATGATACAGAATAACATTCAAGTTTAAACAACTTTCCACCCAGAGATAAAGTTTGGTCAAAATCAGAGATTGTCTTTAAAGTTGAGGCTAACTTCATATAATTTAAGTGGAAATCTGGGTAAATTCAGCCCAAAAACTAACTCCCCCCCCTGAGTCATTTTGGCCCTATACCAACACAGCATAGGTTAACTTCGCCCATAATTATATATAATTATTACTAGTTATGATATATATCATGTTTAAACAGCATTGGTGGTTATAAAGAACAACTTGTAAAAAAAGTTGTTTAATATAATTACATTTCTTGTCATAAATTCATTTATAATTACATTTCTTGTCATAAAATTAAATCTAAAAGCGTTATGGATATGGATCAATTATAAAACATCTTGTCTTGGTATCTCTTTTTAACAACAATCAGGCCTCAATCAATTTTGTATATGTATTTTGTTCTTCTATTCTAAAATTGCTTAATAATACATATTCTTTGAATTTAAAATACAAGAACAGCATTTGTAAATGTATTTGTTAGGGGTGTCACACATAGACAAAATGCTAACTGTTTAAACGGTGATGTACTATAACCGTGTTGAAAGCTTAAACGACCATACTAATAAAATCCTTAGATTAAAACAGGATTTTTTTCCAGGATTTTGGGAACATGACCCAAACCCATGGAATTGGGAATTCCAGAGATGTTTTATTAAAAAATGGGAAAATATTCATGACTTAAATTTTGCAGTGATTGAATGAATGCAAAGAATTACTGTCTAGGATGGCATCTTCAAACATTTAAGTACCATAAGAGTGAAGAAGACCTTATTTTCAAAGTGTTAAGAATATGTTATTCAATATTTTTATTTTGTATTTTTCAACTGGGAATTTTTTCCAGTGGATTGGGAAAATAATATACTATTTTCAATTGGGAATATGACCGAATTTCGACTATAAAGTAAGCCAAAAAGAAATCCCTGTAAAATCATTTCAAAATTAACTTTGTTTCTTCATGGCAAGATTTGACATTTTGTTTGTATTTTGTTGTACTCAAAAATGATCACAATAATTGAATTCATATCCAAATATGGAGTAACTATTTTCTGCTATGGTCTTACCATATTTGATCAGATCAGAAAAAAAACATTATTGAGTACAACTAAAATACTAAAAGCCGATGTACTCTGATTGAAAACGGAAGCGTAGACTGGTGTCCTGCGCACTTATATAGGAACCATAATAGAAAGAGGGAACCTAAATAAACGGAAGCAGTGTATAAAATACCAAATGACAATTTTAAAACGGAAAATGTAAAATAAAAATGAACGATTATTTTAAACTATTTTACGGTAAAAGAAAATCGAGCTCGCTTTGAGGCTTTGCCTTTTTCTGTTTTTCATATTATTAACATAGAATAAAATTGTAATAAAAAAACTGAGGTAATATTTAGAATAAATTACAACTTTTTTTGCCAGCCCCTTTGTATAATACTAACCTCGGTTACCCGTTATTGAATTTTCTAACCAGTTTTTAACTAAGAACCAAGCATACCAGTTTAAATGGATAAATTGACACCCTTAGGACCATAAATGTAGAAGAGATTTTGAAACTTGTTTCAGTGAAATAAAAAACTTTTTTCACATCTTACTATTTGGACTTATTTCATTTTGTTGTTAAACAGTATCCCCGTCTGCCACTTTCTGATCAGCTTACAGATTTTTCAACCAAACTGACAGTGAAATTATTAAAATTATTTTTTTCTCACCATTGATAAAGATTTGTAATTGTACTTTGAAACGAAACGTATCCTACCGTGACCCAAATTCGGCGTTCTCCTAAATTCGGCGATGTTTTGTTTTTCGTCATTTACGCGAGATTTCAGAGGTGAAGGTCAATCATGTTTATGTCCGACGGTTTATTTTTACAACACGAGTGATTTTCTGCGCTAAAGATTGAGATAAGGCTGGTAAACATTAAAATTGTATATGACATGGAGAAAATTGTGTGTTTTACCTGATGCAAATTTATGTTTATCGATACTTTCCTCTATTTGACACAGGCGCTAGTCACATAATCAAATATTTTACATAATCAGTCTATATATGTATATAAAGATATAAGGCCCCCAACGAAACAAAAACATCATGCGGAACAAACAAGAACAATGCTGAAAGAAACAACCAGATCACGGTTATCTCTTTCTGGTCGCCATCTGAAAGGATCAATCCAAGCGTTAAAGCTTTTTATTTCATTAAAATTCTTCAAATAGCAAAGAAATTAGTAAAAGTTTCAGAAAATGCCAATATATTCAATCCATGTCGTTTTCGACGTCCAACTTATTCATGTATACAAACACGATTTCTGGTCGATTTCTACGAAATAAATAGAAAACATCTAAAATTTCCTCATAAAATTCATAAACAAACTCTTTTTCTATCAATCTGCGAAGTCTAAATTGAACTAGAGCCCTCTTTGTACTCAAATATTTAAAAAATATTGGTTGTAGAAGCGGAGGTCAAGTAAAGTGCGCCATTTGTAATTTGAAGTGACAGATAAATGAAGCAAAGAAATAGTATTATACGATTGGTCAATAGTATTCCGGTAATTATCTTAACCAATCAAATCCTTATATAATATTCAGAGCGGAACAGTATATACATGCGCTATACATGGCGATAAAATACTGTCACAAGTGAGATCCTTGTGTATTTTTTAATGAAATACGTACAAAGAGGGCATTTGATCAGTGAAGACTTCGCAGATCGATAGGAAAAGAGTTTATTTATGGAACGTACGTGGAAATTCTAGCCGTTTTTTTTTTTTCCCGTAAAAATCGATCAGAAATCGTGTTTGTATACATGAATGGACTGGACGTCGAAAACGACATGAATTGAAAATAATGGCATTTTGCGAAACTTTTCACAATTTCTTTGCTATTTGAGGGATTTTAATGAAATAAAAAGCGTTGGCACTTGGATTGATCCTTTCAGATGGCGATCAGAAAGAGATAACCGTGATCTGGTTGTTTCTTTCAGCATTGTTCTTGTTTGTTCCGCATGATGTTTTTGTTTCGTTGGGGGCCTTATATCTTTATATACATATATAGACCGATTATGTAAAATATTTGATTATGTGACTAGCGCCTGTGTCTATTTGATTGTTATTGTTGCATAAAATAATTTGACAGTCGCCGTCTGTTATCTTACTATTTTTACTGCCGATCTAGGCCAACGTACTTCCTCACAATCCCGCCAAAATTAAAAATTTACTGTAACCAATCAGAATCGCCGAATTTAGGTGACGTTTTCAGATAGTAGTAAGATTTTACATCAGCCACATTTGTTTATATTTGGTAGCCACTGAACGATTACAATGTTAGAAATTAATTTTAAGTAAGTTAAAAATAGTTGCAGTAAAATTATATCAAGTAGAATTATAGATTACTGTAGTTAATTGAAAATGCCATTGACATTTGTTCTTATATTGGATTTCCTTCAAGGACGAACTAAACCACCTTTGTTCTATTCACATACCAACTAAAGTCACAAAAACACGTCGAGATCTACCATGGTTAAACAAGTCCATTATTCGAAAAATTAGGAAACGTGATAGAACTTATTCAAACATTAAAAGGTCAAAGTCCCCATCAAATGATTTGGTCAAAAAGCTCAAAGTACTTAAAAGTGAAATCCAAAGAGAAACTAGGAAAGCATACTGGCAATACCTAGACTCTGTCATTTTTAGCCAAGACTCCCAAAATGTGAAAAATAAAAAATTCTACCAATATGTTAAAAGTAACAATACTGAAAGTTGTGGTGTGGCACCCCTCAAATCAGAAGGTCAAACATTTACTGATCCAGTTGCAAAAGCAAATATCCTTAACTCCCAGTTTGAGTCTGTCATCTATCGGCCTCAGCCCCTCAGCTTATCCCAGGCCTGCAAACAGAAGCTTATTCCAAAACACCACCCATCTATGCCAAAAGTATCTATATTGGAAGATGGTGTGAAGGAACTTTTTAAAGGCCTAAACCCAAATAAAGCTTCTGGTCCTGACCAAATATCCCCTAGGTTACTAAAAGAGCTCCATCAAGAGGTTACTCCCATACTGACACACATCTTCCAGATCTCACTTAAAACAGGTATTGTCCCAGAAGACTGGAAGCATTCAATAATTGTCCCAGTTTACAAAAAGGTCCAAAATGCAAACCCAGCAATTATAGACCAATCTCCCTCACATGTATAGCGTCCAAATTGATGGCGCACATCTTAGTGTCCAATACTATGTCCTTTTATGATAACACAACATCCTTAGCCCCTATCAACATGGCTTCAGGTCAAAACGGAGTTGTGAGTCCCAGCTAGTAAGCTTCTCCCAGGAAATTCATGACAATCTTGAAAGTGGCCAACAAACTGATGTCATAGTCATGGATTTCAGTAAGGCATTTGATAAGGTGGACCATCACAAACTTGTGAGTAAACTAGAAAGATTGGGTATAAGTTATGAGGTTACAAATTGGGTCCATTCCTTCCTTAAGTCACGCTCCCAGCAAGTTGTAGTTGAAGGTCAAAAATCAGGAATTCTACCAGTTTCTCTCAGGTGTCCCCCAAGGCTCGGTATTAGGTCCCTGTCTTTTCCTTTCTTACATAGATGACCTCCCAGATAGTGTCAAAGGTAAGGTTAGACTCTTTGCAGATGATACTGTTGTCTACCTAACCATCAGATCCAAACAAGATGCCCAAACCCTCCAAGATGACCTTCATGCTTTAGAAAAATGGGAAAAAGACTGGTCCATGGAATTCAACCCTGACAAATGTGAAGTTCTCAGGATAACAAGAAAAAGAAACCCTGTAATATTTCCTTATACCCTCCATAACATCCAACTAAACTCAACTCAAGAAGCGAAATACCTAGGAGTCTCTATTAGTCAAGACCTTTCATGGACCAAACATATAAACAACATCACATCTAAAGCTAATAACTCCCTCAGATTCATTAGAAGAAATGTTAAAACTCCAAATAAAAAGATAAAAGAAACTGCATATAAGACCTATGTTAGACCTCAGGTTGAATATTGCTCCATAGTTTGGCATCCTTGGCAGAAATACTTAATTTATAAGATAGAGCAAGTACAAAGATCAGCTGCTAGATACATTTTTAATGATTATGACTATACAAGTAGTGTCTCAAAAATGATAAATGATCTTAATTGGCAAACCCTTGAACAGCGTCGAAACATCAGTGCTGTAACCTACTTGTATAAAATCCAAAACAACATTGTTTTTGTAGACCACCAACACCTTACTCAAACAAGAAATCTGAACTACCTGATACCCTACTCGAGGACACAATATCATCAAAATTCTTTCTTTCCTAGGAGCATACGTCTTTGGAATAGCCTTCCCCTAACAGTTCAGTCTAGCCCCAGTTTAAACATCTTTACTGAGAGGCTTGACCCATTCTATAAATTCTAAACTGCACACTATGTTTTTAAATTAATAGTCTTGTAGAACTTTTATTCTTTTAACTTTTTAATTTGCACATAAATAAATTCTTTTATTAACAGTTCCCTGACAACGCGCCTGCTAGTCATAATCATAATTGATTGTTAAGCAGTATGATGTAGATGTAGATATCGCCGAATTTAGGTTACACCGGGATACTTTGTGTAATCATTCATTTAAAACTTAATTCTTCTAATTCGAACAGAGAATCGTTTTACTGATAATCTTATACGTAACGTCAATTTGAAGTATTAATACATTCACAATAGGCACCCTGGCGTTGTGTTTATATATGTATGTATAGTGAACATTCTTCGGATAATGTGTTTGTCCGAAAAAAAACCACATTAAATTTTGATTATGTAAATCAAATACTGAATCAATTTGTTGAGACATTACATTAAATATTAACGTACCTTACAGTCATTTCTTACGAATTGTATACCATGACCAGGGTATACTGTAGAGGAACAGAAATAACACTTTTCTAAACGCATGTTTTCTGTGTTGATTGCAATAAAACCATTTCCGGAAAGGGAGATAATAGCGGTAGAGCTGCTTTCGGCCGTTTTCCGTTTTTGTTCCGGAAAGGAGCACAAAGCCGTTTTATTCAGTTGGTCATAAATTTAATCAAATAATTTCTTCTGTTGCATTTGACCAATAACATTAGTTATAGATTCCTGTCCATGTATAATCAAACATTAATTTTTCTGTTTAGCATTCACATTTTTTCCTGGCGGTGTAGGTATTTTAGTATCACATCACTTATTTAAAATTGAGCTATATAACATTTAGTAATTTTAAGTAACGGAAACTTGAAAAAATTGAGTGTTTTACAACACCATTTATCGCGATTTAAATGATACTGTATGGCATTATAATAAACTGTTTTCAAAATGGCCAAACTATGACCAGTAAATTTTATTGAATAAGTTGTTATTAGAAGAAAATACCTTAATGTTACAGATTATGGCTTTTTTGTACAGTAATTACATATTAAGTTCATTACTTGTTTTTTCTCCCTTCTTGTTTTAAAGCGTTAAGTACCGTGAACTAAGAGGAGTGCAGTATAATAGTTATTTGCGCTCACGCTAGCCTGGTCGACGTTCTGTTGTTGTTGTTAATAAACGAGTTTTATTTTATACTTATACTTTTATTTTATACTTATAAACCATTTACTGTTTAGTATTTATCGCAAAGAATTTAGAAATTTGCACCCAGTTACATTCAATAATAAGTTCCATTCTTATTGAGACTATAATCCTCTCTCATCGTCTTTCTTCTCTTTCCCACTATTTTGTTTTCTTCTTTTATATATATTCTTACATTTTAGACATCTATACTTGTAGTTAATCTATTCTATATAAGTTTATATATAAATATATATTTATATGTGTGTATAATTAATACTTATTCCCTTGTATAGTATATACTAACTTTAAACTTATTTAAGACAAACCATATAGTTCGCCAAAGGAGAAGAATTCTATAAGACTTGTCTTTCATTCTCATCCTTTTCCATTGTGTAAAAATATTTTGTTTGTTATATATTTGTATGTACATTATATATACTTTCGGGAATAAATATAATTAAACCAACAAGTCAAATAACTATTCTGGTTTACGAAGCGGAAATTACGCCATATATTTATACTAACTCAAACATAAATAAATACATAAATGTTTAAACTCGTCGCACCCATAAGTCAAAGTATGATGTATGACATAATGATAATTTTTATTGAAAAATACATCAATGATGGGTGACTAAATATCACAAGCTCTTTATCTTTTCTCTCATAAAATTCACACATTTTGGCATTTGACAGAATAACGTCAGAATGAATACAACCTGTCATTTTGTCACGTAAATAACGCGAAAATTCTCCTTCCAGTAGTAAAGATTGAACATTTTTATCGTCATGTGGTGGAATAAATGAAGGGATGTTGACCTAGTTATCCTAGAATTCGGATACATCAGCGCGACAATGCTACATATATTGTATTACTTTAAACATCACTTACACACTCATAAATTTTATTTTTAAAAACTTAAAATTTTATTACAAATACATATTTAAAAACATGGTATTAAACTTGATATTATTCTGCTGTTATACGTTTTAAGATGCGTTTTATTACATAATTCCTGGTGCAATTTTTTGTATTACTTTGTGCATCACGTACTTTACACGTTGTTTGATAAGCTCTCTCAATATATAGTCCTTGGGGGTTTCTTCCTTCGGAAATTACAGTTAGGGCGTGTAACATTCAAAATTGAAAAGTACGGACTCAGATTAAAGTGACAGTATGCTCATCCACAGGTAAAATTGTCGGTGAACAGGTAAAAATCAAAATAACTTGACATTTTGTCTTAATTGGTTCAATTTTACATTTCAATAAGAAAAAATCAATAATCCACATTACCAACGGAAAGTCTATAAATATCCTTTACAATGTATTGTAAATGTGCAATTCTAAATAAGAGTGGGGCAGTCTTTTTATGATTTACATCGTTTATATATTGTATCATAAACATTTTTCTTTATCAATTGTTGGTCAATCATCCTTTTAAAAGTCAATCTTTTGAAATATATTAATTATTCAACTCAACTTGACTGTGAAAAAATGAGCACAATGGCTATTAAATTTTAGTCTGAAACAATAAGAAATGAACGTTGTCTAAAAATCACAGAACCAGAGCTATATAAAGACCCGGCCATACCGCAAGAACCTTGCTGGAGCGTTCCTTGAACTGTAGGGAGAGGGGACCGAATGTCGACAACGCTCGTCACCGCTGAAGCCGGTGTTGCAATAGCGTTGGCTTATCGGTAGCTGGCGGAAGCGAGCGTTGGTTTAGCGGTTATGCGATCGTTGATAGAGCGGCGTCCTGCGCACGCGTGCGTTGGCTCGGCGGGGGTTTCAAGTTGGTTTAGCGGCATAACGCTTTTAACTACGGAGCTGAACTGATCGCTTTCATCATTCCTCAGCTCCGCCATCAGCTTGTCATACAGTCCATGTTCAGGCCTTCTCAGTATCCACTGTCTGACCCACACAACTCTGTTTCTCCGTCTTCTCTCTCAACAGCTTGTTGCAATCTGAGGTGGTTCTGATTCTGCTGCTGGACTAGTGCACCAATCATAGCAAGTCTATCAGCATCCATGGTAGTACAGTTGTACTGTAACTTTGAGCAAATTCAATGTAAATGAGGTCTGCAATCAACGGCAGCCCGATTCCAAATGATCTCCTGTTCCATTTCTCTCCGTAAGTATAGCCAAATTCTGGTCCCGCTCCAACACCTCCATACCAACGAAAAACCAAAGTTCATCACCGCAATGGATCGCTGCTTCAACGCCCAGCACCGTTCCAGCAATCACGGGTCCGCTCGTAAAACTCCTAAAACCGTTCCACCAAAGTTTGTGCAACGTTTAATCACCGCCCGGGCAAAGCTAGCAAAGCAGCGGTGGTCCAGCGTTCAAGATTTCTGCGTTAGCCTAGCGGACGTAAGCGTCCACGAACTTGCATCTAGCGGTACCAAAATTTGACTGGGCGTTGTAGGAGCGGTTGGGGACTTTGCCGGAGCGGAAAATTTCCCGCTCCTCACGGCTCGCAAAATTAATTTCGTGCAGCTCAAAACTTTCGGGGCGATAGGAGGGACCATAAGTGGTGACCGAGCGTATACGGCATTGCCTTAACGGGGACCAACTTCTGGTGAACGGTAACGAGTGGTGATTAATTATTTTCACCGCTCCAGGAACGCTTAAGCAAAGTTCTTGCGGTGTGACCGAGCCTTAAAAGTCTGTGCTAAAATATATCGGGACTATAGAATGTCAGAGCTACATGAGCATGTTAACTGGAAATATATTTCTTAGCATTATTACCGAAAGATTGAGCACGCATATAGTGCCGCTGTTATTTACCAAGGTATTTTTTATTGACCATCAACCTCATTGTACACCTCTTATTCTTCACATACCATCAAAATAGTCATCGTCGATAAGCCTTTATTTCTTCTTCTATAATATCAAAGAAGATGTCCAACACCCCATATATACATGTATTTATTCAACGAAATGTGCCGATACGACTCTTTAGTTTTGTTGGTGGTTTTCACTCATGATCACGACAGTAAGCCACATTGAATTTACCAGAGCACAGTTCAGCTACATCATCGTTTCTTGGCAGGCTGTTAATTAAGCAGTAAACCAGAACTAATTGTCTCCACTTTTGTAAGGAACTGAAATTTCTGCACATGCCAGAGCAGAGGAAAAGATTTCATGATCAATCACAACGAAAGCGACCTGCACCGTCCGGGAATTGAACCCGGATCGCCCGATTCACAGACCAACGCTCTACTTATTGAGCTAACCGGCCGCGGATGGCCTTTTACGAGTCTTTTCATCTTCAGAACCGTGTTATGCTTCTCTAACAGAAATGAAAATGTGTGTTCATTTGCCATTATGTCAAAGGCTGTTTTTATTTTACACACAATGAACAAAGGCGTAGCGGGCCTACACACATGTAATGTTGTTGTTCTTTTGTTCGTAAAATACATTCATGGTGTTTCTGTTTGATCTAATCATTTACAATAGGGAAAGAGAAATATTTCTTTTGAACTTTCGAAATGTTCGTTTTAAGAGTGATTATAAAATGTTGATGAATACATTACATAATCGCATTAAATCAAAGACAAGAATGTATAACAAGACAAGTTACCATATCTTTCTAACGTAAAACAAGCTCATTATACGTGCTTATAATGAAACATTTGAATACTAATTCAATTAAATAATTCATTAGCTACCGTACATAAATATCACACAAACATGTGAAGTATATATATCATCTCAGTTACTATACTCATATGAGTGGTTTAGCATAATAATACTTGTCCTGGGAATAACCCTTTAGCTCGGAGACTTTGTTTAATTGATTTTCTCAGTTTTGAGTTTTGAATAGACCGGATTTTACTGTCAATATACAAAAATATATCTACCAACATTATAGAACCTTTTCCGACTGCACATAATGCATATATGCTTCCTTGGCTATATACTGCGAATTCACTTAAATTCGTGGGCATGAAATTTACAGTACTGATGACACTTGGCTGGGCTAATTAATTTCGGTTCCAGCAGGAGGGGTAGGTTAAAGGGACAAGAGGCATGTGCAATATCTATGCTTTGGGAAAAAATTATTGACATTCTCACGGGTATATAATCAAAGTTCAGAAGGAGCTGAATTTGTTTGTGTCTCAGAATGTCAGAAAGGTGAAGGTTGTGAGATTATAAAACAATTTGTTTTTGTATGGTGCCACCAATGCTTTCCAGCGTTTTAATTGTAGTAGATTGGCTATAAGACTAAATGCAACACTGATATTCAATCCAATGTTTATTTGACTTAAACAATTTGAAAAAAAATGAGTTGCCTTAACTGGGATTTGAACTCCAGACCTTTTGTTCCTAAGCGAACGCACAAACCCCTCGGCCACGGTGAATTTATATGTAAACGGCCTAAAGAAAACCATATTATTCTAAATTAGGGTTTGTAACGACGCTAACTGTTGTTTAACACATAGTCATGGCGCTTACTATAAGCATGTACATCTATAAAGAATAAAACAATATTAGAAATCTTCGACCATTCGGGAATAATTTTGCTTGAAAATGAATGCGCCTGTCATGTGACCATATTTACGCAGTGATCTTCCCTGAATTTTTTCGGCCTTTGTGTTACATATAAAGGGAAATAACCGCTTCAAAAAAGCGGACTACTTTTGGCAATTGCAATTAACAGCATTAGAGTCTGAAATTTCGCTACCATTATTTGTTTGGTCTGACGACCCAAACAAATAAAAACTGATGTTAAACAGGAAATGCAGAAGAAACCTGCATATAAATGTTCACTATTATTTACAGAAGGACCAATACATTGGATATTTTGATATACAATTTAATTTCGCTGATATGTATTCATGCTATGATCTTGTTTTAAGTCTTTATTGCGCGCCAATAATATAAAAGATACTTGCTTTGTATGGAATCATAACGGCGAATAATATGGACATAATTACTGCGTTGAAAATCTCCTTTACGACTTTTTTAACTTATGTTATTGTGTCCCAGTCTGTTATCCTCAAATCGTATGGAATTTAACGGAAGTCATTTCATGATAATCGCTTGTACATGTGCAATAGACGCGTTTAAATTTGAGTTGTTGAATAAAAAGCGTTGTATGCTTGCTGAAATAATTGCTTTATATTAATTGGTTTCTCAGAATGAGCAGCATGCCAATTGAAATGATGGCATAAAGTCTTGCTGTAGTAGGTTTAGTGTGTAACTTCAAGATGCTAATACTTTGAGCTGTCCATTATGTAGTGAAAATACAATACACAAATGATTATTAACATATTTATCCTTTACCTACAATGTGTGATTACCGATATGTATGTAAAATGCAATAATGATTCACGCCAATATAATCATTACATTAATAAGTGTAGATAAATAACATTATTAGATATCTATATATCAAAAATCACATTAAGTATAAGGTTTATTAGAAAGGCGGAGGGGAAGAAAAAGTAGATATACGTTAACACCTTTCATAACTGTTGTATGACTAGACGAAATAAGTGTAATAGATGAAAATAGTTTATATTATACCAACGTTCATTTACATTCTGATTTAATATATTCATACCAAAATTATCCAAAATAGGATTTCTTGCAAAGGCGAAACACACCAGATATTTCAAATTTCAGACAATTAAAAGTAAATGTGTTTTATATACATTTAACAAATTTAACATTGAATATTTGATCGAAGACTTAGTGCAATTTTTTATTTCTTTTTTTTTTCGCTGCGCTCACCAACAATCTGACAATTTATATGCGTTTGTTTTAAGTCACACCGTCACATGTGGTAACACTTTACAACATCCTGTGTTGGTGGTTTTCCGCCACCATGTATTTTTTCAGGTGTAAGTGGGGTAACAGAACCACAGTCCGTCTGTAAGCTAGGTCGATGGTTTCTTCGTTTTATTTCATGAACAGTACGGTATAAATAAGAAAAAAATATCATATGCATAATTTGTCATGACAGGAGGCACGATCCGACAAAATATTACTTTTGAAGATTCGTGAGTTCACTTGTCAACAAAACCTGAATTTAACCTACTGTTAAACCATGTACAATAGTATATATCTAATATTATCTCTGTCAAGCATTGTTTGTTAAATTTCCTATCTACATCTTATATTAAATCATTTCTTCATAAGGATGGAAATCAAAACCACGTGAAATGTTTCCGAATTGTGCAGATTATCATATCAGAAAGCAAATCATGTGATTTATGTTTTAGACTGATGACAAATTTACGAAGCTTATTGAAATTTCCTGTACATACACGTTTTTGCCTAGATTTCATAACTATGTGTGACATACATGTATTTTACCGCAAAAAGACGAAAATGGAAGTGCTCACAAATTTGATAACTGTATGTAAAAAAAAATCGAGAGAGAGAGAGAAAAAAAAAGATCAATTTATATTGTGAAATTAGAATGGTAATGGGAAAATCAGCGTAATTGCAGGTCCACGTTCAAAGATTTTTAAGAAGGAGAAGAAAGATAAAAGAAGCTTAAAATATTTTATTCTTTTATGAAGCATACTGGTAGGCATGCAGCACTTTTAATAAATTTCCTGACTTAACGATAAGATTTATTCACAACGAGCGATATCGATTTATAATGTCGATGAGGAATATTTGTTCGTAAATGTATTAGAACATATCTATTCACTTGAACAGTAATAATTTTTTCCTTCTTTTTACAGTTTTAGCAGTGTGATGCGTAAAATAAAGACGAATAACACGCATCTGAAATTCACTATTTTCTTTTCAGTCTACAGTTTTTATATACGGAACTTGATGATTAAAACGGCAAATTTTTCTTTCAAACCATACACCCAAGAACATCCATTTACATATATATTTATTACTATAATTAACATGAACAGTCTCTTATATTTGAATGGCAGTATATATACATTGTTTTTACTGTCGTTTTATCTTTGGTATACCGGGGTTATATGTATATGTATCAATGAAACAAAAAACAATGTATATTATTTACTATTCCACAAACATGCACGACTTTAAATGCGTTTTAATTTCTAAATTTCTGACTTCTTGCTACCCTCGACATTATAAGTTGATTGTTCGCGATTTCTCTATTTTAATATCCAGACGAAAATAAATAACAACTCAAACAATTGTTTCAATAACTTTAAATGAAATTTTCTTTTACACAACAATACAGAAATAACCTTCGTGAAAGACTTTAACAGATTATAATCTTTTTTTATATTTGTAAACCTTTCATGTTCTAAAAACAACTGTTTTTCAATCCGATATTTGTTTAATGATTGTCGTAAAATATATAATTTTGTGTCCCGCTAATTCATTAATGTTTTTTCGCCTTTGACATTGACATCCTAACATCAAAGAACATACAAAACCATTGATGAAATTCCTAAATATCATTTCAGTAAAACATTGCTTATATTCGTATGGAGTTGAAAAAGTTAACTGCATTTGAAAGCGTTAAATCTCCTACTTCAAAGAATATTCTTTTCTTACAGTATTTGGTTTCACAACTGACTTATTATTTATAAATTTATAAATATATCTACGTTAGTGGCTTTAACACCTTGTTGTATCAGCCTGTGCATCCGGAGAGTTTTTTTTTATATTAATAAACTAAGTGGCAAAAATAAGAAATAATCTGAACAAAACAATCATAATTATCATGTTTCGATATTGCATAATTTAGTAAACAAAATCAACATTTATATACAATAACCAAATAATCTAAACTAATGATGAAATATCATTCACACACAAAATACATGCGTACATTTTCATGATAATTATAACATATTGATGATTTATTAAGTAAATTAGTCAATATGACTTATAAAACCGCATACATAATATAGCTTTCAAACATATACAAATGTAATTACAAAGTATAAAAAAACTACTTTCTATCTACTTTATCAAGAAAAAGAACACATTGTTTTAAGCGGGAAGCGTTTGGTTGACGAAATAAATTTCAAAAATACTTCAGCATTGTTAAAGTTAATATTATAGATGTAGAATTACCTCTGAATGCTAAATTTAGTAGATTTTTGTGTCAGTTGCAACGCCGATGAGCTTCGCGTAAACTTGAAATTTGTTTAACTATTTTTGTTTTCTAGTTTAAAAATTTATATTTTTTCTTTTGTAGTAGCAGCATTGTGTTTGTGTTTATGAAATTATTAAATCATTGTGGAATTTTTATGACATTCCTCTTTGATAATAACGAATGACTTTGACATTATGATGTTTTATAATGTAAACTACTATAACTTTGCAAGGGCAAAAACAATTTTGCCATCGGTCATAGTATACAAAGTTTCTGAAGTTATAAACTGAAAGAACAGACAATATAAAGAATGAATAATACAGCGTTTTAATAATTTAACAGCATTAAAATTTGCATGAAAACATTAAACACAGTCAACTACAAACTTTAAATATCTTTTAAAGTAAGAAAAATAGGTTAAATATCGTTTCCTTTAAGATAATTTAAGATTGCACATTTATATACTTTAAATTAAGATAAAAAATAAATCTGTACGTAAAATGGTTAAATAGGAGAGAAAAAAGTTCACGTAGGCGGAAGACGTATGCACGTCACTTTTCAAAGTTAGGTACGTAAAAATGAAACGTTCAGTAATTAACTTCTTCTTAACATGCCCGCATCCGAAGTCGTTATTGTTTCATAATTTATCAAAGGCAGGAATAAGCTAGAAAGTGTCCATTAATATGTCGGGATATGATTTATGATCTCAAATCCTGTTATACTCCGTCCTTTTTGTCAATTAATGTCACCCCTTACCGCAATAAACGCGTAAGTTTCTGTTAAAGAAAGTACTATTTTATTATCCTCTTGGTTCATATGACTGTCCAACCTCAGCCCCTGAACTGTGTCTGTATTTTTATCACAATATGACTCTTATAAGTTAGAATATATTTCGATAAATTTAGCTCCATCTTTATAGAGTATATTCATTACATTCCAAATATATTATTTTTCATTCTTTTAGACGTGGAACGTACTGCATAGCGTTCTTGTCAAACATTTTGAAAAAGTATTATATTTAATATTTTAATTTATGATTTTTATTTCATACAGCATTCTTGTCATATCCATATAACACAACTGCGCATGCCTGAAGGACTGAAATATTTTGTTTCAGTTTAGTAAATACACACATGGAGGATTGAAATATTCTGCTGTAGTTAAATAAATAGACCAGTAATTATTATTCCTTGTTGTATAGAAACCTTGATCGGTAGAATATCATCAGTATTGTTGACCTCGAATGTTTACGTGAATCGCAGGCAAAGTTGTTAGTACGATGTCGACAAGAAACTTTGACATCAGGCAGTTCAGATCCAGTGGCCATCTCATTGAATCGTCACATTTTGTGAAATTTTGTGTCTTTCTTCTTATATAATATCACTCTAGACCATAATATATCACGAAATTGTATGGATTTTGATATCAATATTTTTGCCGTGTTTACTTTTTTTATCTATGAGGGCCCAACATTTGACGTATGAAACTATTCCAAGCTAGTTGTTGCGCCACTGTTGGATGAAGTACGTTTCTATTTCTATTATAAATACTACGACTTGGAGTCGGTATATCATTCAAAGTCCTTTCTCGAACAGGCAAAGAAGATATGTCTCTATTTAAATCGTTATTCAAATTGTTTGATACTGGGTTTGGTAAACGCCTTGACATACGTTCTCTTGTTTGTTGCTGCCGGATCACATCCTGTGTCTGAATACGGTTTTGGCGGGGTAAAGAATTGCCTGAGCTGTGAGGACGAGGTGTTGTGTCAACGAAGCCAGGTCTTCGGTTAGAGCCTCCGCGACTGAAACGCGGACCGTTTGTAAGTTGTCCGAATCTAGATCTCATATCAGTATACCATTGATGGCGCGGCGATTCAGTGAATCTGTTTATATTTCTTCTTGGTGTTGGTACAGGAGCCGCGGTGACTTCAGCAAATCTTGATTTAGTAGTCACCTGTATGTCGGGTACAATATTCCTTGTGTTAAATCGTTCACGTTGTCTATTTCGCGAAACTCTCTGTCGGTCAGGGCGCCGATCTTGTCTTCTGTCTTGTCTGCGATTCTGTTGATTTATGAATGATTGTCCAATAAGTGGCCACACTTTAACGGTTTCTTGGTGAATTTTTGGTTTCCAATTGCGTCTACTGTTTGCAGGGCGGGCGGCCTCTTGCGCGGCTTCTACAGAAATTGATGACGGTTTCCATAAAATTCTTGGCTTATTGCCGTTTTCGTTTTGTTTGCGTAGAGAATCTTGACGTTGTTTTTCAACTATTTCTTGCTGTCTTTGTTGCTCTAAAAGTTGCTGATGGCGTTGTTGAATTTGACGTTGCTCAATAATTTTTTTCTGCCGATTTTGCTCTTCGATGAGTTGTCTACGCCTCATGAGTTCTTCGTGCTGATCAAGCCGATCTTGCTGAGATATTCTTGGAATTATTGGAGGAGGCACTTCAGGAAGACGCGTGCGCATATCAGGTCGCCTAGTGCGCATGCGTACGATTGAATCGCGAGACGGGACCTTTTTGTATATTGACTGTCTTTGTTGCCATCTGTTACTGTTTTGCTGAGGTGGTTGGCGTTTATTGTCGGAAAGGTCTAAAGTAAATAAATTGTTCCTCTGATGCGTTGGAATCAATCTCGAAGATTCGTTGTTATGAATACTTGGTGTAAAAAGTCTCGTTTTTGTTAATGTGTGTTTTATAGCAGGTTGTGGTGCAGGGGTATAATTTGTTACTCCTGGATTATTTGTCCATGATATAAAAGATCTCGGTGGTGGGGGAGGTAGATTCGTCTTTACCAGTCTTGGACCTGTCTGAAACGTCTTTTCGCTCCCATCACAAGCCCATGGAGCAAATGAATGTAGATCCTGCAAAGGGGTTGGTCGCTTTAACCATTCAAGCATTCTGTTTGCACTAATTATATATACATCATTCAATGAAACAAGCTTTTTAATAAATCTGTCCATTGCTTTTAGTCGGTCTGGATAGAAGAACCATGACGGGTGCATATTTATTCCAAACGGCATTCTTGTCGTAGTGTAATAATTATGGAAATTCTTCCATAAAAACTGGTAAGCAGTATCCTCGTCGGGTGGAGCATTCATGCATCCGTCAACATAAACACAGTCGTATGCTTGTTTATAATCTAATAATGATACAACAGGCACTTCCCAAAAACCCGGATGTTTATGTTTCGGACACGGTTTGACCTGACATTCGTAAGGATAGCCGAAATCTAAAGTAAACGGACCTGGAGGTTTCTCTTGAAAGCTTCTTTTGCTGAATGTTAGAGTCGCATCATACGTATACCCAAGCTTCTTCAGGGAATCAGGTTGGAGATCGCCAGTTGGTTTGAGAAATGGACTTCGCCAGCCTGTTATTTCTTTAACAGGAACATTTGCTAGCTTAGCTAAATTTTCTTTTTGAGTTTTAGCCTCTTGAAAAAAGTTTGTCCCATTCATTGTGCTGTGTGTGACACTGTGAGACGCTATCTCCATCCCTTTCCTGTAGAATTCCGAAACAAGTCTGTATTTGGTATTATCATGCGAAATAAATAGTGTCATTGAAACAGGACATCCATTTGGATTTTTCCGGCTTTCGTGAAATAATTGATGATAGAATCCAGAGACTTGTTCTGTTACAGCATCATCGAAAGTAAAAAATACAATCTGAGGTATTTGAGACAGTGATACATTCGTCAAATTAAGCTCGTCCCGACAGCAGAAGCAATCGGGAGGGTTGCATTCCGAGCTCTGTAAGCATTGCTGGCACACAGACGGACTTACAGCTACCGCTTGTTGCACATGTGTCAAACATACCACTGCACTAAAAATAATCCAAAATATAGTTCTCATATTTCCTTTTCTTAAGTCTTACGTAATGACGAAAAGTGAAGTCGCATGAAATTTTTAACTCAATAATGTAAACGAAAGTAAATAAAAAATATTATCACTAGTACTTCATAAGTACAATATATTCGTTTAGTAACTGCGTGTTTTATTATTTCAACTTTATTTATTTATGTAAATCACTATTTAGCTGCCAGAACACGCATTTGTCATTAATAAATCCACCCGTGCTCTACTGTTCCAAACAGTTCACAAGAAACATGACAATTTTTGGGAATGTCTGCGAAGGTACGACTTCACCACTTTCTCCAAATTTGTCGTCTGGTAACGCGCGCGCGTGGTAACTAACTTCATCAATTGTCACACACCACCAAAAACGTTTTACTGCCTGTCAGTGAAAGTTTTATAATACGACCGGTGAAATAATAACAACACCTCATTCTTTTGCCTGAAGGCACACCGCAAAGGATCTGAAGATACACGTTTACATATATATATAGTTCTATATATTAAAACATGAAGACCTTTGTTTATTTATAAACCTAACATGCCTGATGTAATTGTTAAAACACGAGAAAACAAAATGCTATTAGTGGTTAATTTGTTAGTGAAAACTTTATATAGATGTCAGATGTGAGATGTGGGTAAAACATCTGTCATTGAGGTTTTATTTTTTTGAATTTGATGTAATTAATTTTCTAATCATAAGAAAATATTTTTGAACATCTTGTGTGGCGATGGGAGACAGTCGACGAGTGTTTATTACAAAGAAGAATACATGTGTATATCTAATAAATTTATTTATTTGTACGAAAATGCTGAACTAAGCGGGAAAAATAGCATTTAACATGTCAAATCTCAAACACACTTTTGACAGAAAACATAACTTATTTTATTACAAATTTTATTTTAATTATCAAAATGAGCACAAATGTATTGCATTCATGTATGAAATGTATTCATTGGTTAACCCCGGACATGAAATATATGATGATATTTACTCATTAATGTTCCGTCGAGAAAATGCCTGTACAACTTGATTAGAGGAAATACAACTGAAATATAGCTGACATTCATATAATATTTGCTTTTTCCTTCAAATATATTAAAATATTTGTCTCATGACGTTTATAGTGGCATTAAAATCTAGCAACTTTTGTTGTGTTGGCGTGCGCCATGACAAATATATATGCTTTTTTAAGAACTTACAAATAAAAAAAATGTAAACAGCTGAAAAAAAACACACACAACAAAATTCCTACCAAACATCTTTTGATTTTTCTTATACACATACATTTAGGCGCTTACGTTAAGAATATTATTATACAAATAACATGTATATAGAGTAAAAACATTATCCCGAGAAAAAAAACTGTTACGCGAGATGATACTTTTACTGTTACTTACCAACCTATTATTACCCCGACCAAATGCTTCAATGGGACACAATTTCTATAATTGTTTTATTTTTTATAACTTTACTGTGAAAAAAGTGCTGTTACCTATATAACAGTACAAAAATTTAAGTCACATGGTAGACTTGAATAAACAGTAAGAATAACTTCCATTGGCCAATGGGAAAATAGTGAGGGGTAATAAAATCCCTTAAACACGCTTCACTCCATTTCCTTATTTAACAAATTAAATAAACTGAGAACATTATATTACACGATAACGGCTGTAAGCACGTAAGAATGAAAAAAAAGAAACAAAAAAAAAAGAGAAAAAAAACATATTTTAATTTTTCTCTTGAACAATTATACATATACATGGTTTATACTCTAATTAATAACAACCGGCCTTCGTGATTTTACTCCCCATATGTCAATGAAATTTTACCATATCGGTCATGTAATTGCGTGCTTTGATTGTTTATGTATATTAAATCATTTTCTATTGGAGGCTGGTTTACAAAAACATGTAGGCTACATTACAAATCGATTTATGGAAACCAAATACTGTAGATCTAATATCATTCAAACCTATATGCATGACTTATGAATGACTGGGGTGTGAGGGATGTTGTATTTTTTCCACCATTCCTCCTGAACATACTCAAACCGAGTCTGCAATTTTTATGAAATATTGTTATGGCAATGCTTCCGACGGAATACCCTTTTACCAGATTTTTTATGGAAGGCACTTATGTCCTTAACATTTTCTTTTATGACTATGTAAATAATAGACACAAATGTTATATACGGACATGTATGTAAGCGTTTAATTTACATTTCTTTTTGTGTTTGTTTGACAAGTTTTAAATCTCTCTACATAGATAACGCGACAACTTATATTGTCTGTACGGTAAAACGTGAATATGATGTAATCTATACATTTAATTATATAAAACTTTACAAAGTTATGTAAAAAGGAAAAAAACATCGGAAATGTCTTTCTCTATGGCTTTTATTTTTCTTTTTTTTCTTATTTTGCTATTGTCGTATACGTTTTTGCAAACAAAAATCTATAATAAAAGTGTTTAAATAAGTTATAAAGATGTACAATTTCTTGAGCGTTATAAGAAAAACAACAATCACAAAGCGTGTTTTCATCAATAATATATTTAAGTCATACTTAAAAAGTAATATTTGAGTCATTTTTCCGTGATCTAGTGAATATGCTTGGCGTCTATTTCGTACTTAAAGGAACTCCACTGAGGTTCAAAAGCCTAAAATCATAAAATTTATATTTTTACATAGATCAGCTGGGGCACGTAAAACAGGAAGACATGAAAAAAATTAAGAAATAATAATATAATAATTAAGAAATTTACTCAGAAATGAAATGAAAAGCGTATTTTTGTGACATTTTTGATATGATTTGAGTTAAAAGCGTTTAAACGCTTTTCAATTTTGGGTCATTTTTCACTACTTGAATAATTATACTGGATAAACCGAGAGAGCTAATGATCTAAAATTTTGCACACAAGTTACTGATCTAGACCTACATCAAACTGAGCATTAATCTCGAAAAAATATTTCCAGTCTCGTCATGTCAAAAAACCGCAGTGGAGTCCCTTTAAATCATGTTATGTTGTTTTATTTCAAAACCAAATATGTGTTTCAGTAAAAAGAAAAACAACACACAACAGGTTTTTTATATACATTGTATCATGACAGTAAGTTTTTTTTTACAATGATGAATTTGAAAATAAAGTCATTAAACAGGTGTTTTTACAATACTACAATTTTAATTTCATGTACATAAAATAACATTTTCAAAATAAGGTCCATCGTTATTCGTAATTTTGCAAATGTTCTTATTTTAGTTCAACAAAATTAAAGCATAAATTCAACGTTATGAAACAGCTATAAAACTGTTATTAAAGGTCCCTAACATCGGCAAGTATGTCTACCATAATGCACACGTTTTCAGCATCATTTGTTGCAGTTGCATACAATTTTTTTTAAGTTGTATACAATTTTTTTTTAATTTTTATTCTTTAAAATATTCCGTGAATATGCAAAAAGTCAATTTTCCGTAAAAGTATCATAGTAACATGAATATCTTAAAATATGTTTAAAGTTTAGAATGTTTTAACAACAAAAGCAGCCACCAGTCAAGAATACTAAGTACATCTAGAAGTTTTGTTCATGATTGATCATTGGAATTAAAACATGTGTTTAGTATTTACGTCCCCTAACACCGGCCCTAGCTGTTTGTCATCTTAAAAATATCATTACAAAAATATCTCATGTTATTTTAATAAAGAAAAATTATACAGATAAATCAAATAAATTAATTATCTGTGCAGTTATGTTTCAAAGGAGGTGGATTTTACATAATATGATCAATCTTTTTTTTATCCTTCAGTTAAATGATTTATTTAATTATTAATTATTCAAAATTTTCTTTGTTGTTTTCTTTCACAAACCTTCACTTTGTATGTCAATTTATTTGTTCTTTCGCAACAGAATTTATGACATATCTAAGTTTTCCATCAATAATGTTGAACATGTCCCCATAGGTCTATTGCTAGCTGTACACTTATTAATTACCGATATGATTTTAATTCTAATAACTACGGGACAAACATAATTATGTGACTCGAAAAGGTAAATTAGGTGAACTTAAAATACTATTCATTTGTCTGGATAATCTACATCTATAGGTATGCAAGTGCAAATGATACCAGGAAACGTATTAGTTCAAAGAACTTAAAGAAATATGATATCATGCATATTTTCCGGTAAGGATGAGTGTCATGAATGTTTGTGTTTTTAGATGATTATATCATGCGGAAGGATGAATATAAAGGCATTGTGGTATTGGTCACAACTTTAGCCTGTTGGCATGTGACAAATGGTTGTTACGTGGTATAGTGTAACATTGAATTAATTTGACACAATCATTTATATAGCTCACTACATCTCACTCTTATGCATTTGTAGTCTACGTTGTTTAATAAAATGTCAAATAACAGCCTTCTCATTTGTATTGTCGAAAGCGATTATGTCAGAAATGTGGTTAAAGAGGCGTGAATTAAAAGAAACTTATTAATCAACGTGCATATGTTTTGCTGAATTCAATATAATGGCAAATTCTATATCTGAAACTTCACGGTACGGCTGTGATCTATATTTTCATATATTATTGTAAATCCAAAGAAAAAAGTAAGAAACGCACTGTCAGGGGCAGGTAAAAATGGGATTGTAACACCCATTTAATTTCATATATGATATTTTTTTAATTATGCAAAGTTTAAGAAAACCCGCTGCCCAGTTCATTTTTCCCTACTTTATTTATGTTATATGTTAACTTTTGATAAAAGTTGTTAATATCTACTTGTACTAACGCTTTGGACTAAGAAAATTAAGAAAATTAAACATGAAATCCATTAATAATTTGCAAAATTATAAGAAACTCTCTACGACATAAATGAACCATATTTACTACATTTTCTGGATCTTTAATTAATTAAATACGCCATTTAAAATCGAATGATCTGATTTAATTATTTAATTAATATATTGTCATATTTGTTGTAATTAAACACTGATCAATAAACATATGCAATACAAGTTTCAAGTTTCAAGTTTATTTCAAAGTACATTTGGACAATATGTCCATGCATACACAGTACATATAACAAACATACAATACAATCAAATGGTCAATGTCACACTTTATAAAAACATATATCATTAAGTTACACAGTATTTTTAGCAATCAGAAAACGTAAACTACAGATAGAATATACTATCAACATGTCTCAATTCATATACTGGTAAATAAATACTAAGGAAAGATACCATCCTATTAATAAGGAAGTAAATCACAAAACAAAACGAAAATAAGTGTATGTAATTATACATGTACAATACACATAAATGTACTGAATCAATAACATACTTGAAATACAATGTTACAAACGTTGATATAAACAATATAGATATCTCAGTGTTGAGGATAAAATGTTTGTACGAAGTTTAACATGTACATATATTACAGATATATCGTCAGGAAAAAAATCTACATGAAGGAATGTATGTGTTCTTTTAAACAATCAGAAAACTGTTAATTTAATTCATAGAATAAAAGACACATTATCCCTAGGAATAAATGTTTCCTCGATAAGAAAAGGAAAACATAGTTTTACAACGTTTAAATAGTGGTTTATGAGAATGTTAGATGCTTATCGCATGGAGAAACTAGCGCTTAATTCATAAAAGTAGCAAAATGGAAACAAAGTAGCATTTTGACTTCCATACAAAATACTAAATCACTATGATTGAACTGATTACTGAAGCAAAAATTGACTCAGGCATTTAGCCAATGAATAACTCTTTGGAAACTAATACTGGACATTAGAAAAAGCTTTTGCGACATAAACAAAGATTTGACATACATGTACGTGTAAGTGACATAATTTGCCTTTAACATTTTTTATTTAATTATTTTGTTTATTTTGCCTAATTAAGTAGTATGATTGTTTAGGTGTTACATATCAATCATAGAAAGTCTTTTATAGTTCTTTCCTAATAAACATTTGTTTTACTTATTTCTTAACAACATGGACATATCGATATGAAATGGTACTCGTCCTTATATCAATGTTGTTACAGCAATGGCGGTATTTGTCATTGCGCGGCCACTGAGTTTTAGTTATTATTCTCATCTGTTTTCTGTTAAAAACACCGAAGGACATCAGCAGTGAGGACACAAATTTGTACTGCACAGACATCTGCATTAAAATTTCTGTTCTCTCTGTTCTATTATAGATTCACTAACATTAAAATAATTTGCACATTCATGTATATTGATTCATTACAAATAAAGTCGAGCACAACCTGGGCGGATGATTTACGTATTTGTTGTATGCACCTGCACACATTATTTATAAAAGACAAATTGCGCAAAGTTAGCAGAATAAAACGATATCTCTTTAGTTGAAAAAAAATAAGTTGCCTTTGGGCTATTGTCGTGTGAACGGGTCATCATTGTTACGGAACATTAATTAGATATTAATTAGAATAATTTATTGGGCAATCAGAGTTGTTGCCATCGAAAGGTGTTTAGCCTACAGTTATGTTGACAGTAATGTATCTTAAGGATGTCGCTAGCCTGCCTTTATGATCTTTTACGCTTCATATATAAAAGAAAATAGAAAAGTGTGCTTAACAACTATTCCGTGTGATATAATTACGCCCCTTCTGCATAAAAGAACCTATTTCGTAGCTTTTAGTTGTCAATGCAATGTTTCACACTGTTTAGATATAAGAAGACAAAATTGACTGAATCTCTCGTGAAGCTATAAAAGTTAATGTAAAACTGATATTTTGACGATTTTTACCATTACATTGTACTTTGAAGACTTTGAAAATATTAAGATTTTCTTTCAATATCATAAGAAAAAATTAAAACATTTAACTTGTATTATGGATGATGATGATAATAATGATGATCATCATCATTATCATCATCATCATCATCATCATCATCATCATTATTATTATTATTATTATTATTATTATTATTATTAATACATAAATCTCAGAAAAATATGTCCAATCCCTCATGTCAAAAAACTCCGTGAAGCCCCTTTAAAATATGGCGAAAATAGAAAAATAAATACTTCTTCATAATTTGTAATTTGTTACAGAGTTCTAAAATGTAACTATGGGGGTTGAAATTTCTTAATTTAAAATACGAAAAAGAAGCGCAACATATTCACCGGTAATAAGCTGTACAAGGATTATCATCTGCATAGAATTGTAGTTTCTGTAAATGTCAATCTGTTTAATTTACATGAACAATTTAAATATTTTTTTATTATTCATACAAGGAAATTCTAAATGACAAATTTCTTACAACGTCTTTTAAAATATGTGTATGTATAAAGTTAAATGATATTTTCACGCAATTAAAAAAAAACAACAAGATTTTCTGTTCACATTAAAATTTTGACACAAACATTTACATGCCACTAGGTACTTTAAAATGTTAAGAATTAAAGTAAGAATGTGAACATAAATAATGATATCATATACATACAACTTCCATAGAAAGCTGACGGATAAGTAGTGTAGTAAAATTTACCAAATCTAGCTTTAAACATTAAAGATTATCAGGTTTATTCGATTGCCATTTTTTTAGTTTATGAACAACCAGTACTAGGCTCCTGGGACCTTTGTTCGTCTACACTAGGGCAGAAAACAGTCACTCATAAGCTTTCATAGCTTTCTGTCCAATCCCAAAATGTATCGTGGAAATATTGTTCATTTTAATGTAAATATATCGAACAAAATATGTTTAAACAATTCCATACATCGATTTAAAAAGTGATGTCTCGCTTCGACAAATAAAACTTGGTAATAAACAAATAACGTCGTCACGATGAAAATGTTGGCTTGCATTCTTATCGTTGTAACTATCATCATTGTCACTATCAAACTCGTTGTAAATCATCAAAATCATCATCATAAGACTCATCATCTCGTCAATCAACATCATCATCATCAGAAGCATCAGCAGCAGCATCGTCATCAGCATCATCAACATCATCAAAATCATCACCATTAAACTGTCATCATCACGTTCATCATCATCATCATCTTCATCTTTATTTTCATCATAATCATCATCATCATCATCATCAAAATCTTCACCATTAAACTTTTATCATCACGTCCATCATCACCATCTCTTTTCTGGTGGTGTGATTTATGGTTTTACGATAATTTACATATTCTTTACATTCTATTGCAATGTGCAAAATTTAATATACCAACACACATATATATTTTAATTAATTATATATATATATTTATCAAGTATAATGTATTATTGTCGGTTATCATGGATTTACCTTATTTTAGAATGTTATATTACTCGTATATTCTTGTATTTAGTATCTGTGTCCTTTTCATTAGTTATCATTAATTCTAACACGACTCGCATTTTTCCCTATTGAACATAGAAGAACCGAAAGTGTGTGTTATTATGCTATAAATCACTGTTTGACGTTCTATATTTAGACATGTGACGTAATCATTATACACGTGACGTAACCACTAAAAATGTGACGCGCTGACAATAAGTACGGAAACAAATCAGACGCAATTTAGCTAATTATCATGTACGGCAGCATTTATTTGTTGATGTCGTGTTAGAATCGAAATAATATATCCAAATCGATGATTTTATTGCTTGATAACATCACTGTTTGTCGTTCGGATGCGCATCATTATATCACTCGGGCTACGCCCTCGTGATATAATTCCCCGCATCCGAACTCCAAACAGTGATGTTATTGAGCAATAAAATCACTGTTTGGGATATATTATTTCTTAAATAGAGAGTGTTAGCACTGTCACGTTGACTGTCTATTAGTGTTGATGGCTTAAATAAAAAAGAAGCTAATAAAATGAAATAAAAACAATAAAAACTGAACAGACCATAATAAGAGGGTGGCAACTCCGATTTTGTGATTGATCACTGTCATGCATAGACTTATTGACATACATATATACATGAAGGAAAGGTAGGAACTAATATATCCCATAGCGTGAGCTAACCGATTCGTGGCATCAATAAATACACTTAAATCATACTGAATACCAAAGGTATCTTATTTTTAAATTTAGACTCTCATTTGCGGTAGCTAATTTTAAACACACACACACAAAACTTTATGTGGTGAAAAAAGAAAATAATGAAGAACAACAATAAATCTAACAACTCAACACGTGATTAGTTACTGTAAGACATATTAAAACATAGGACATGGAAGGATGGAAGGATGAGAAAGCTAACATGTGATGACATAGTTTTGATCATAACATATCACAGCACAGAACAGACCAACACAGAACAGAACAACACAGAACAGACCAACACATAACGGAACAACACATAACATCTCACATCACAGCAAGAAGCAGCATAGTACAGCACAGGCTAGCATAACACAGCACAGAACAGAACAGACCAGACCAACACATTACATCACAGAACAGAACAGAACAGACCAACACTTCACAGCACAAAATATACCAGCACATCACAGAACATGACAGAACAGACTGGCACATTACATCACAGAAGAGAACAGAACAGACAGGCACTTAAGAGTAAAACAAAGCGCGTTAAGGTCATGAAAAGCAAACAACGTGACAAGAACTTTCGAAAATTTATAGTTTTCTTCTTTCTAAGTCAACTATTACACTTCTCGCAAAACAGATATTTTGCATAAGCAAGGAACTGTAAATCAAAACACTTAATAATTATGACAGTGCAAGACAGATAATATCCGTGCCGCACCGTGCCGTTCCACTATCCTAAAATATATCAATATCGTCTATTGAAATTTTTCTATAAATGTATAGAGAGACTGAAGTTGAACAGTACGTGTGACAATATCGATTATAGTCTCAGAATATAATGTATCGATGTACGTCATTCCCGCTAAGCAAAAATCGATTGCTTTCTTCCATTCTAACACTCCAGAGAATTTTACATCCATAATTGGAACAAATTCTTGTTTACTTTTACATAGAGAGAAAGACCGAACTGATAAGAGATAGTTGAAATAATTAGACCAAGTTAGCAGACGACAGTCTGTGTATCGTGCTGTGTTATAATGAGGAACTATGGTCGGTTTGGTTTGTTATTGTGTTATTTTGGATTGGTGTGCTGTAAGTCAGCGGTAGATCCCGACTTGTACAACGAATATTGGGATCAGAAGGAACCACTTCCGGAGTTCCTCGAGAGACTTCGTCAGGTATATGATCATTTCTAACCTACTCAGTTCTTTTCGTGTTTATATAGCAATTATTGTCAAACGATCTCATTCTAGAATGGCATAACTCTATTGTAATAATTATGGCTATCTTGCAGTTAATAGTTCTGAATTCTGTTATAAAGTCTTTTTGTAGAACGATCAAATTCTAGACTGACATATTTACTTAAACGAGTAGATAGTATCCATTTATTTGATGCCTCGATCTCTCACCTGCGTTAGGGGACTCAGTTACAGTCTCTAAACATTGACAAGAAATATCGAAGACTTTATTAGTGCTGCTTACTTAGATCATTCAAATCTAACAGATGCCATCTTTACTTTAAAAAAACAACAACAAATGTATGTATTTTAAACTGGAATGACGAGAAATGTTTCATAATCTGAAACGTGTGTCACTCATCAATACATTATGAATATTCGTGAACAAATGTAACGGTAAGAAGAATAAATCACGCATTTCAGTAGTATTTGCAGTATCTGCGTGATTTTCAAACGTTTGGTGTCAACAGTAGTGTTTACATATCAGAACACGAAGTTTAATGATGACTTGTGAGAAATAAAATTGACAAAAAGCGGGGAGCATGCTATGTGATTCCGTTCGTCCAACTCTGAGCGACATCGTAAATTGGCAACAGTATTGATTCGTGAGTGGAACTAAAATTTCACACAGCAATAAGATAATCGATAGATTAATAGGCACACCTACGCAATGTCAATCACTGGGCAGTATTCAATGTTTCTCGTTTTATTCCCTATTTTTTGCGAGATGAATGTAATCGAAGTAAATTATGTCTGAAATTGACACAACAACGATATTTGCATGTGACTGGATGAGATGCAGTTATTTTTAAGATAAAATCATACACAATGTTTGCATGTTAAATTCACGAACTAACAAATTTTTCGCCATATATGATACTAAACCAACAAGATAACACAAGATTTCAGTTCTTTCCGCACGCTAAATTGTCTTACTCCAGTAATTCGTAATGTATATTGCATACTAGAATGTTCATGTAATGATATTTTTCAGACACTGTATGGACCGGAATATAACGATTATCCCGATTACCGAGTGCTCCCGAATGAAGCGAAAGACACACGCGGAAAATTGCAGGTGGTTCCGAGCTGGCCGTCACACAAAACGACAGCAGTAATAGGTCAAGTGGGAGGAATTGCCCTAGATTCTAAAGGCGATATTGTCGTGTTTCATCGTGCTGACAGACGTTGGGAATCAGGGTGTGTTTATTTTTCTTTTTTGTTTAACTTTTATGTTTGGCAAAATATGAATTTTAATTAGTCATGAATTTTAATAGGTATTTTTATTCTATTCAAAATTCAATGTTTTTATTGTAGAATTTGCAAACACTATTCCCGCGGCAGAACAAACAAACAAACGGCATTTCTTCTATATGGAATATATACATGTACATGTGTTTTTGCTTAAAATTCATTTCTAAAAGTTGAATGATTTCCAAAGTGACACGGTGTTTATAGATGCTCGTCAAACGACAATTTGCCTTTTTTCGTGTCCCTTATCAATCCAAAATAAGCCTTTCTCCGCATTTTTTTAATGGATTTGTTCATCTTTTAATCCGGAAAAAACTGTTTGCCAAATAAGTGTTCAAAATAAGTCCTGACAGAGTAGCGAACACCGGATAGATTCTACATGTTGCCGTCAACTGGCCAATGGTTTAACAGGAGAACCCTTAATGTCTATAATACAGTCAAACTTTCCATATACATATACGCTCTTACAAACAACCATTTTATTTAAAATGCCATCATTTGCTATTCATCTTAAAATGAACTTTAATCAGTGGCTTGGCAGTATAATTATTTTAATAAGCTGTCCTTTGTCTTAACTTTACGTTGTTTATCAATATAAACAATAGGTCATTCGGAACATCAGATCGCATTAGTCCACTTCTCGGACCCATACAGAAAGATGTTTTGTTGTGGATCAGTAATGAAACAGGGGAGATAATAAAACAGTCAGGAGCAGGAGAGTAAGTTTTTATTTAGATGTAATCAACTTATTATACATTATGTAGTACAATACTGAGTTCTTTAAAACGAGTGTATATTACTTCGGATTAGATGTTTTAGTTTATTCCACATAAAGTATACATATCACACATAAAGCACACATATCTTACATAAAACACATATATCTCGCAAAAAGCACATATATCATACATAAACCACACATGTTTCACTTAAACCACACATATATCACATAAAGTACACATATATCTCACATAAAGCACACTTACATAAAGCAAACATATCTCACATAAAGCACGCATATCTTACATAAAGCACATATATATCTCAAATAAAGCACATGTATATCACATAAAGCACACATATCTTACATAAAGTACATATATCTTACATAAAGCAAACATATCTTACATAAAGCACGCATTTTTCACATAAAGCACACATATATCACATAAAGCACACATATCTCACATGAAGCACACATATCTCATATAAAGCACACATATCTCACATAAAGCAAACATATCTCATATAATGCACACATATCTCACATAAAGCACACATATCTCACATAAAGCAAACATATCTCATATAATGCACACATATCTCTCACATAAAGGATACATTTCTCATATAAAGCACACATATATCACATAAAGCACTCATATCTCACATAAAGCACACATATCTCATATAAAGCACACATATCTCACATAAAGCATACATATCTCATATAATGCACACATATCTCACATAAAGCATACATATCTCATATAAAGCAAATATATCTCACATAAAGCACACATATATCACATAAAGCACACACATCTCACATAAAGCACGCATTTTTCACATAAAGCACACATATATCACATAAAGCACACATATCTCGCATGAAGCACACATATCTCACATAAAGCACACATATCTCACATTAAAGCACACATATCTCACATAAAGCACACATATCTCACGTATAAAGCACATATATCTCACATAAAGCACACATATCTCACATAAAGCACACATATCTCACATAAAGCACATACATCTCACATAAAGCACATATATCTCACATAAAGCACACATATCTCACATAAAGCACACATATCTCACATAAAGCACACATATCTCACATAAAGCACACATACCTTACATAGACAACACATATCTCACATGAAGAACACGTATCTCATAAAAAGTTAACATAAAATAAATATGCCATACATAAAGTAAACATATTTCACATAAAGGATACATATTTTATATAAAGTTATTGAATATATTTATTATGTATAACTTTAACAACTATAAATTATAAAAGAGGTATTAAGCGTATAAAATATTCAACAAAAGTTTCTTTTGTAATATAAGTTCAAGCAATATACAGAATATAAACAGTTAATCATAAATGTTATATACATTACAACACTTTCACTGATAAGCATAAAATAATAAATTCTTTGAAGCGTAAATACCTTTTTAAATAGTATGATGTAAACCATATGGTGGATTTTTCTCATTTTCTTTTTTTAGGTTTTTATATCTTACAGTTTTGATAATCTGTTAATCTGTAAACATACTTTAAGCTCGCTTTTGTGAATTATATGTATATATGTGTTTGACTGCAGCGCTATTGACGTACTTTTTTCATCAAACTGGGACAACATCTATGAAATTCTGTATTAGGTTTCGTTATTCTGGAATCTGCATACACATGTGTAACGAATAAGAAGTTATCTAATATATACATTACAGATAATTTTGAGACGAAAAGTCTAAACCTTTGAAAATATATTTTCTTTCATATGAAAATCAAAAGCAGAAAGAAAAATTCAAAATGGTATTTCGCATTTGAGAAAACAAATCACTGAAAGGTCAACATTATTGCGGTAATTCATTTAGGAGAGTACATATTAAAAATTGTTTTCTCAAATGTCTCCCATCACTTGTGCTTCTATAAAACATGTAGAACAATTTACAATTAAATAAAACATTTTTTTTTTATTCCGAATTTATGATATAACATAGGATTTGATTTGACACGTTATTTTGTTCACGTTTTCTCACGTGTTATCACGTGTCACGTTATTTTGTAGGTATTATATGCCTCATGGTGTGACAGTAGACAAAGATGATAACATATGGATAACAGATGTTGGTCTTCATCAGGTTACTAATTTTTTTTATCAGTATATTTTCATCGGACAATATAGTGTCTATAGTGTGTCAAATAATGGAATGTACATTATATATGTATAACACATAAAAAGCATTCATATAAATTTATTGATAAGAAACAATGCAATAATTCAGTTTAAGTTTTGAAATCAGCTTATTAAGTTTCTGTTATGTTATAGATGAATATGGTTATATATCAAATTACACGTAATTTAGTCTGACGCATTATATTTTTGTCATACACATTATAATTTATTAGGTATATAGGGATTTGTAAAAGAAAACTTTATCTGTTGTTCTATGAGAAAGAAATAATTTCATTATTACCATTGCATTACGCCAGGTTATTAAAATTCCAAAAGATCCGAATGCAGCAAAACTGGTTCTTGGGGAAAAACTTGTACCCGGAAGTGATGTAACACATTTCTGCAAGCCGACAGATGTCGCTGTGGCGTCTAATGGCGAATTCTTTGTTGCAGATGGGTAAGTGACTACATACTATAAAAAATTATCACATATATATAATATATATAATCAAAAACGCTATTTAAAATTATAATTATATAATATATATAATTTACAGGCTTATATCCGGGACATGTAATTTAGTTAAAGAACAATTCCGTTATAGTTCATGTTATTTGCCGTGTATTGTTGATAAAGGCACTAGTATACTATTTTATTTCATGTTAACTAAGATATGATTTTTTAAATTTATATTTAATTATACGTTGTATTTCATTCATCTGTAATCAAGATGCATTGTTGTTGTTTTTTTGTACTGACATTCATTAAACTGATAAGGATATGTTCTTTGTCATTTAATTGTAAAAGTTAATTGTTAGTTACTGTTTATAATATTTGTCATTCTTCCACTTTTTTTCTAAAATTAGTTATGCTGTTTTTTTCCAGATATTGTAATGGGAGAATCATGAAATTTTCACCCGAGGGAAACTTCATAGGGCAATGGGGCCACGTTTCTACAGGTAAGTTTCCGCCATTGTTGAAAATCCAAAATGGCGGGTCGAAATTCTTTTTTCAGTCTTAATTACTTTTTTTCTTTCTTTCGTATTTTGTTTTCATTTTAAAATCGTTAAATCGATGATATAATCATGATAGTGATTGGAATCAAAAATTGATGATTTATGTCGGATATTTGTATACGTTTGTCATCTTTGTTTGGATCATATCTTTTATCTGCAGGCTTCCCGCTGCTAATTTCGATGATTTTTTGTCATTTTATTTTAAAATTTATTTAACCGCATACCAATGACACACTGCTGCATGTTGTACATTTCAAGGTGAATGTTGCAATTAAGGAAATGTTTCGTTAGTGACATTTGTTTTTGACTGCCATTTAATTCCCGGATCTTGACACTTTTATAGGAAGTCTTGTTCACCTTTAGCCTATTGTGTGTAAAATCGACATAAATTCATCCCGATAAGAAAGTCTTATGAATCAATTATGAAAGTTTCACATAAAAGTAGACAGTTAATTAGAAATTCAATAATTTTTACATGATTAACATAAATTCATGCTCCAGTTGTTATTCTAAAGTAAATTATTATTTCCGGTCTTAGTACGGCTGACCTCGAGTTCGAGTTTTTTATGCTGATCAAATTTGCAATATACGTCAAACTGTTCAATATCATTTAAAAAATAATAGCACGTAAATTAAGTTATGCATGGGTTGATTCACCTTCAGTTATAAATATCATTAGTTCGTTATCATAGAATTAGATATAAACTAACGAACAACGTACAATTACACTGAAATGTCTAATTTGTCAAGCAATTTAACATTTACCCTGCAACTGATTGTAGCAATGCCACAAGTGCAAGTTAGTTCAGCCGGCACATCCGAGCAGTCCGATCATGGCCTGCACTGTTCGCTGTTCTGTCAATAAATATCTTGAAATGTTTCCTAAAATAAAAGTTGGTTAGTCCAGATTGAGCGACGGACGAACAAGTCCATTTAAGATATTAGGGTGGTGAGAGTAATATGTTAGGATAGGTTCAGCTCCGCTCACCTCAGCTCTGTTTATTTGTAAGTTCGTCCGTTCGTTAGTAAAAGAAAGTTATTTTGTTCTTCAACAAATATTTCAAAATCTCATTTTTAGTTTTGTGTCTACAAAAGATAATTCACCATTTTTTGAGACATTAACAGTAAAATCGTTTGATGCTTATTTAAGCAATGACTACAAAAGAAAGAAAAACTAAAAAGATCCATAAAATTATTCTTTGAAAATAAAGTACATTTGATGAAATAACTATCGATCATTATTAAATTGTTATTTAATGATTTCATGACTGATTTATGAGAACGCGCGTGACATATTTGCATCTTGATAAGCAGTAACAAATAATTAATAGATAATTAATATTAATCTGCTTTTTGAACAACAATATATTGCCCCTAATGAAATTTGTCAGACTGTCAATTTTCTAATTTATGAGAGCCATTGTTCAAGTTCTTGTTAATAGTTTTATTTCTTGATGCAATTTTAAGACTCAATAAATGTGAAGTGTATACGCTTAAAACTGAACGTTGTCCAATGGACAGATATGAGCCGCGTTACGACAAAACCAACATAGTGCGTTTGCGACCAGCATAGATCCCGACCAGTCTGCGCATCCGCACAGTCTGATCAGGATCCATGATGTTCGCTATCATATTCTCTACTTGTAAAAGGGTTGGTAAGCGAACAGCATGGATCATGATCAGACTGCGCGGGTGCGCAAGCTGGTTTAGATCTATGCTGTAACAAACGCACTAGCTATGTTGGTTTTGTCGTGACGCGGCTCATATGTCATGTTTAGAGTATTTCACCCAATGGCAGCTCATAAATGGTAAGATAGTCTGAAAATGAATTTGAATTTCTTTCCATACGTTTTATCTAACGTAGCAACAAATTCAGGTTACTGCCCCTTACTTTTCATCAGACGAGACAAACAATCGCAACTATTCGGCCCTTTCCGTCAGTCTTCGGATAAGGACCTCGAACACAATAGTATGAATATACAGAACGGATGCGGTATTTCGGTCTAACCTACGCTAAGAAACTAAACATGTAAACAAATAGTAATTTAATGCTGGGAGTTGTTGACAAGTTTATTTCCAATAAATGTAGTATAAGTCCACCTAAAATAAGTGAATTCATAGGTACAAAATTAAACAATACATTATTTATATATTTATTATTATGGTTGTAGAAACCGAAAGTACAAAAAACCAACCTGTTGACATTTAGTCGGATTTGATTAAAATTGAACATCAGTGGGCATATTTGAATAACAAATTGTTGTCAGACATATTTTCAAGCAAAAGAGTATCGGAACAGACATTAGATGCCAAATATATACATTCGTTTAATATTATCAAATCTGAAACAACGTGGTAGAACTACTTTTTCCGAGGTTACCGAGGCAGTTCCGAATGCGAGACAAAGTCAGGTTACTTTACATTACTGTGAAAGAAAATGTTACCCGAATGCATTACTACTGAAATTATGCAAGCACACATTTTGAAGTTTTCCATATCTTTCTTCTCACGCCTGGTAAACAACAGAGCTAGCTTTCCCGGTGGTAGTCTCTATCGCTATTTCAGAGCCAGTGCATGTCGCCGGATTTTAGTGTTAAAGGAACATTGGTGTCTAATTATATATATTAAAAAAATCTGCATTGAATATCGAAATTCGAAGAATGCTATACCATGTAGATTTGAATAAAGTTTCCAGAAACGTGAAGTTCATAATGTATGACATACATTGTTCAAACTGTATGTAGTTGTGGCGGCGTTTTATTCTTAATATTGAAATAAACTTTCATCATGAAAAAATGCTATTTCTTCAATTTTTCATTTAAGCAGCAATCCTTATAAAAAAATACTTTTTAAGAAGTTGTTACGTCTAAAATCATATGAAAATCTTATCAAAACCAAAAGTATTAAAGGAAAATAAATAATACCTAGTTTTCTGTCATGAAGGAGGTAGTCGTTATATAATTCCCTCTAACAGTTACTTGTTCTAAACTCTGTTTAGAAGGTATTTGAGCCGCGCCATGGCCTGCCTGCCTACCTGCCTGCCTGGCTACCTTCCTGCCTGCCTGCCTGCCTGCCTGCCTCCCTACCACCCACCCAGCCACCTACACCTACCTGCCTGCCTGCCTCCCTCCCTCCCTGCCTACCTACCTACCTTCCTACCTGCCTCCTGCCTACCTACCTACCTACCTACCTGCCTGCCTGCCTGCCTACCTACCTATCTGCCTCCCTGCCTCCCTACCACCCACCCACCAAGCCACCTACCTACCTACCTGCCTGCCTGCCTGCCTACTTACCTACCTACCTGCCTGCTACTATTCTTTAAGTGAGGTATAATGTATATAGTTTACATCTGTTCAATTATCAGATTGCTTTTATTCTGTTTTAGGAGCACCTCTTGGAAACTTTGATTTACATATACCTCATAGCCTTGCCTTGGACGAATCACGTGACCGCATTTGTGTCGCTGATAGAGAAAATGGAAGGTAAGTCGGAGAAAACATGTCTTTGAAATGGTTCTCAGTAAAAAAAAAGACATTAGAATAACAAAAGGTCATGACTCTGTCAAGTTATAGAAATGTGTTTACAATTTCTTTACAATTTTTTGTCCATAACAGACTGAATCGGTAAACCTTTATTGAAAAATTGCTTCTGACAAGAATCTGGGCTGGGGGCATTTGTGTTTACCACACACGATCTTGTTTGTTTGTTGTTGTTGTTTATTTTGTTTGTGTTTTTATTTATTTATTTATTTTTTATTTATTTATTGCTTTTCTTCGTTTAGCCTATCTTCTGCATGCATACATACATACATAAAATATTTATACATGTATTTACTTTTGTCACTTTTCTCGGGTTCTACTGATGTGCGCATTCGCTCGCATAACCGGAACACGACAAAGTAACAATATAACATAATGAAAATCTAACAATGCATACATTCGGGAAAAAACAACAACAACAAAAAATAATAAAAAAATATGAAAAAAATGGCGTAAAATCAGCCATCATAGAACTAGTCCCTGAATCTGATATTTTCATTAAAAAACTAAACGGATTTTAGGTCACAAAAAATAATATGGCTGTTACCATACAGTATGGATTTACAGACTTATAAGTCACAACTTATGTATCTAACATGTTAAGAGTATATAACTAATTAAATATTAGATCAAATTGTTCACTGGTGAGGTGCTATAAATGCGAGTGTATCTAACAGTATCATAAGTATTTTATAGTAAATCAGGGATACTAGAGTAGGTCAGTAGTACACAAACAGTTTAAAGATCACTAGAGTAGTAATTATTTGTTTATTTATATAAATCAAATAAAGTATTTTTGTGTGCGGTTTAGATAAAGTAGTTGTCGCATTCCCCGTTTAAAAACAATTATTTAAAGAAACAAAATTAATTTTTGTATCGGAATTTTGCCTTCAAGACATAACCCGCTTGCTTGAGTAACATTACATACCTTGAGTCATTAATAAATATGACTTTGTGACTGTCTTCACTGCAATTAAGTTGACGCTATCAATACGCGAGGAGACTGGTCGACGTCTGTCTTCGTCATTAACCTGCCGTTCGGTACAGGAACTGGTGTCGATGGTACAGGTGTGGGGTACAGGTGTGGAGGGCACGCTTGCGACCCAGGGTAAGCGAGCTGTTGCGTATATTTAGTAGGTTTTCGGTTATGTTTGGGTGACACATGGCGTTGTAGCAGTTTAGGTGACTGTACATAATGGATGTCCCATCAGAAATCTATCTCGGACTAATCTTCATATTCTTAAACTGGTGATATCATTTTATTATGATTATTCAGCGTTGCTAAACAATTGCAAAATTAATGATCCAACAATAGTTTAACTCCCTACAAAGTGACGGAGTGTGCAAACCCTGAAAGCTATTTTTGAAGATATTTTTTCATTGGGTATTACAATAAACATTTTAAAGATGATGTTACCACATCAATAATCAGAAATACAAATAATGAAACGCGCAATAACCGAGTTGGATGCAAGAATAGTACTTATGCACTTTCTCGTTTATTAACGTCGGTCGCAGAAGCCCTCGTACTTGTTAACGACCCCCGCCCTGCGGGTTCGGGCTATAAATGCGCTATCGTGCTTCTGCAGATGTTACTGCACGAGAAAAGGTACATAAACCCTCTATTTTAACATCACTTCAGGTTTTGAACATTGTCAAGTCTGAGACACAGTGAAGTTTATCCGAAGGATATGAAATTTTATTGAAAAAAAAATGTTATAAAATATATGATTGGTTATGCAGTGATGACGACATGTGAGTATATATCAGTGTGTCGGTAATAAATAAACATATATTCATCACTTTTAGGACAGTTAAGACTGACATAGCCGTTATAGTGTCAACATTATTTGACAGTTCTGTTAATGTATAACGTCATGTACAATATCGCCGGGTCATAACTCGTCCGAATATCAAGGTCATGACCTGGTATAGTACTTTATTGTATATAAATATATATGTTGTTGTTGTTGCTGCTGCTGCTGCTGCTTACTTGCTACTTCTTATCATTTTGTTTGTTGTTTGTTTTGTTTGACATTTTTCTTCTTCCAGCTTTTTTATTTTTCTTCAAAACCATTTTATCAACAAACAAAGAAGAAACGAAACTTTGGAGACTTTCTTACCGGAAACAGTCCAAAATTTGCTTCAAATTACTGTCGTTATGATCATATTTACATTTATGTCTCTGAAAAATGTAAACCAAGTATTTACGCACTCATGCACCTGACGTCGATTTAAAGTCTAATCAGGAAGACGGTTTAGTCGTTTTTATTGACCAGTCTGGGAAGCGAACCCACAATGTCAAAATTACAAGTATCGCGCTCTAACCGATTAAGCACAAATTTACTGATGATGTATGATGACTCTGTATATACTAACACAATGAAATGTGTTATTGTTGTTGTTGTGTTGTATTTATTTTTTCCTTTTTTTTTCACTTATTTATTTTATTTCATTTATTATCTTTCCCTTTAAATCTATACATGTATTTACTATAATCTTATTTTGAACAAATACATGTCTTTTTTGTTATTGGACAATGCAATTTGGATAATTCAATATGCTTGTGTAGTTTGTCCACGTCAGATATATTAAATATATATGAGTACATGTACACTCTCTAATCAGTTGACTGGTTACTGACATTTCTTCTTTTGAAAAACAATCCTTGGTCTTGTTCAATTAACAACACCCACATGCTTTTCTAAAGAAATAATATGTATTGAATAAATGTCAGTAACCATGCAGTCAACTGATCAGTGAGTGTACATGTACTCATATAAGACTTTATATGTACTTAACATAGATCTTCTTTTATTCAAAGATAGTTTTTTTTAAACAATTTTTAACAATTATGGAAGAAAAATAATCACAACTTTAAAATGGTATAAGGGTTATTTACTATCTCGGACTCATCAAAAACCTTATATAAGGTATAAGCATTATCAAGTACGTAGAACATGCATGCTCGTAAAATCTTTCTACTAAACCAAATACACTACAGCATTAAGTTTGTGAGAGAAAAGTAAATATATTTTAGCCGCGTCACGACAAAACCAACATAATGGGTTTGCGACCAGCATGGATCCAGACCAGCCTGCGCATGAGGATCCATGCTGTTCGCTATCAGTTTCTCTACTTGTTATAGAGTTTGTAAACGAACGGCATGGATCCTGATCAGACTGCGCGGATGCGCAGGCTGGTTTGGATCCATGCTGGTCGCAAACGCACTATGTTGGTTTTGTCATGACACGGCTCATTTTATTGTCATATTCGTTTAAGTATAACACTTTCTATTTCATATAAAATGACGAACAACGGCGGAGAATACAACTATATTGTTACTTTAATTCGCAACTAATGCATTTTCAGCATTTGCACTACGTAATAGAAATCATTGCTGGGTTCAGTCTTATTAATTTAGCGTCTTGTTAATTCCCAAGGTCCAAATAGTTCATATCAAATCCATATCACGCCTCATATAGCCTCGTTTTCATTTCCACAGTCCAAACATCTCATATCGAATCCATATCACTCCCTGAATAGCCTCGTTTTCATTTTCAGAGTTCAAACGGCTCATATCAAATACATATCGCACCCATCCCATCTAGCCTCGTTTTCATTTTTAGCTCGACTATTCGATAAGAATAAATAGAGCTATTGTAGTCACCCGAGCGTCGGCGTCGGCGTAACCACTTATGTTAAAGTTTTTGTAATAGTTCAAATATTTTCAAAGTCCATTGACATATGGCTTTGAAACTTTGCACACTTGTTCACCATCATGACCCCAACCTGTAGACAGGAGGAGGTAACTCTATCAAGCATTTTGACAGAATTATGCCCCTTTTTCGACTTAGAATTTCCGTTAAAGTTTTTGTAATAGTTCAAATATTTTCAAAGTCCATAGACATATGGCTTTGAAACTTTGCACACTTGTTCACCATCATGACCCCAACCTGTAAACAGGAGAAGGTAACTGTATCAAGCATTTTTTTACTATCAAACACTAAGAATAGTCGAGCGTTGCTGTCCTACCGACAGCTCTTGTTTGAGTATTCAAACACCATATTAAATCCTTATTGTAATTGCAGTAGCAAAGATCTGTCAAAAAATCAAAACATGGTCCTTTATGGATTTTTTTATACTCTTGTACTTGTTATTGCTTTCTTCAACTTTTTGACACAAAGTATCGAAACAAAATTTGTATCGTTTGGTTGATACGGCTGCTGGTGAACTGCCCATAGTTTATTGTGGCATCTTTGTGAATGTCGCGATACTCAGTCATGAGTAACGTTGTGAATGTCGCGATACTCAGTCATGAGTAACGTTGTGAATGTCCCGATACGCAGTCATGAGTAACGTTGAGAATGTCCGGATTCTCAGTCATGAGTATCGCTGTGAATGTCGCGATATTCAGTCATGAGTAACGTTGTTAATGTCCCGATACGCAGTCATGAGTAACGTTGTGAATGTCCCGATACGCTGTCATGAGTAACGTTGAGAATGTCCGGATTCTCAGTCATGAATATCGTTGTGAATGTTGCGATACTCAGTCATGAGTAACGTTGTGAATGTCATGATACTCAGTCATGAGTAACGTTGAGAATGTCCGGATACTCAGTCATGAATATCGTTGTGAATGTCCCGATACTCAGTCATGAGTAACGTTGTGAATGTCGCGATACTCAGTCATGAGTAACGTTGTGAATGTCGCGATACTCAGTCATGAGTAACGTTGAGAATGTCCGGATACTTCAGTCATGAATATCGTTGTGAATGTTGCGATACTCAGTCATGAGTAACGTTGTGAATGTCACGATACTCAGTCATGAGTATCGTTGTGAATGTCGCGATATTCAGTCATGAGTAACGTTGTGAATGTCGCGATACTCAGTCATGAGTAACGTTGAGAATGTCCGGATACTCAGTCATGAATATCGTTGTGAATATTCCGATACGCAGTCATGAGGAACGTTGTGAATGTCGCGATACTCAGTCATGAATATCGTTGTGAATGTCGCGATATTCAGTCATGAGTAACGTTGTGAATGTCGCGATACTCAGTCATAAGTAACGTTGTGAATGTCCCGATACGCAGTCATGAGTAACGTTGTGAATGTCCCGATACGTAGTCATGAGTAACGTTGTGAATGTCGTTAATTTTAACAGTTGAAGTGAAATTAAGAAACAGAGTTGTTACAAAAGTAAAAAGTTATTTCAGCTGTCTTATTTATATCTCCCATTATAGTGTTAGTGTTCAAAGGGTAAAGCAGCATGACTTTTTTTAAAAACATCTTGTATGAAATTTGTTCCAAACTTTGATTATTTTGTGAGAGATAAGCAGGTTTTTTGAATGAATAAGATGGGAGAACAATCGTACAACAAACATTATTACATTTAAGCAGAGTTTCTTCCCTTTTAATAAAAGGTATTTTTGAAATTATGTAGGGGTTGTATTATAAAAGAATTATCATTTTCGATGGGAGACTGTATTGTATGTATATTTCTAATATCTGTCTATATATTTACAGGATTCTGTGTTATACGGCTGGTCTGAATGGAACAAAGGAAGGGGAGTTTATAAAACGCTACGAGCCACAGAGGGGCACTATTTACGCCATTGAGTTTGATTCTAGCGGTATAGTTTTGTATATTTATTCATGAATTACCTTAAAGATGTACATGCATAAGCGTAGGTTGTTAATTGTAGGTGAAGGTTCAATCAGAGAATAAGCATTAGTGATAAACTTACTTAGAATTATGCAGCCATATAACTGTACAATGCTGCCGTTTAACCGTGTATATAACCGTATACATCGGTTGCTTTACCAACAAATAGACTGAAAATATGGCAAATTTTACACATAAACTGGATCCAGTGATAACGCAAAAAGTACTGGAAATATTTTTATGAAACTTGAAATATGGGTAGATGGCAGTCTGGAGATTATGCATGTCTTTTTCTTTTCTTCCTATTTTGAAAAAATTGGTTGCCATGGCAACAAATAGGCTTAAAACATGGCAAATATAACAATATTTGTGATTAGTCAAAAAGAGCTGAAAATTTTTATGAAACTTAAAATATGGATAGATGGTAGTATGGAAATTATACACATCATTTTAATCTTGACTATAGGGAGTATATTGAGAGCTGTCATACTTAACAAACGTCGGCAACCTCGTCAAGATTTCTGATTCTAGTTTTTAGGCTTTTTCACTATAAGTTCTTTATTTCTTAAGGTATTTATTTCAAACTTCAAATATAAGTTTCTGGTCATCAACCACATCATATGTGACAAGGTTTACAACTCTAGCACAAAAATTATCAGAATTACCTCCCTTGAATTTAGAATGTTTATGAATAAAATGTGTTTTTTTAACCTCTATATTGCTTAATGTATCTTCTTTAAACTTCATATATTTGTTTCCTATTATCACTCAAATCATTTGTGAGAAGGTTCAATACTCTAGCAAGACTATTTCCAGAATTATGTCCACCTTGAACTTAGATTTTTTTTCGAGAAATTGGTATGTTTTACTCCAACGTCTTCATTACTTATAGGATTTACTTCAAATTCCCACATCACAATAATATGACAAGGTTTATAAATCTAGCATCCATATTCCCAGAATTATCACCTCCTTAAACTTTGAATTTTTCTTATTCATTCTTTTAACTTTCTTTTACTTCAAATTCAAAATAAACATTCATTATGAACAGCTTCATTACTAATTGTTCTTTGTAAACACTCACGTCATGTATGGCGTCTTGTATCTTTATTTTCAGGAGTTATCTCCTCTTTAAGAATTTTGCTTTTTAAAAATGTTATATTTTGATAACAGGGATGTTTCAAAAATTAACTTTAGAGTGTCCTTTAGTCTGTCTGTCTATCTGTCTGTTCATAAAATATGTTGCCTGTGGTCGCTTTTAAAGAACTTTTCCAACAAATTTGAAAACTGAAGCATTAGTGAATGGCCAATGGCCCTTCAGAATGTTGCTGGGGTTCTAACCGGTAGGGGACTTATGGATTGCTTGCAATACTATGATAATTACTTGTTATTTTTCAGTTCAATATGCTTGTTTGTTCACGAAAGCTATATTTTAAAAAAAAACATGTGGGTGTTGTTAATAAAACAAGAACGACACACTACACAAAGGATTGTTTATCAAAAGAAATAATATTTAATGTCGAAATGTCAGTAACGGTCAACTGGTCAGAGAGTGTACATGTACTCATATCAGACTTTATTTGCACCGAACATAGATCTTATTTGATTCAAAGATAGTTTTTCTTTTTTAAACTTTGCTAACTCAAGATGCTTAACTTAACTGCACCTAAGCGGCTTTCCTGGATAACTAACCAGTAATTACCAATTTCTTCCCAAGTGACCTCTAACATATCCTAAATGATTTCAGAAACAGCAGTAAAAGATAAATGACTATTAGACGGACAGTTAACACAGAGAATTTCAGCTCGCACGAGAAATGCGAGAATCAAAAACCAGCGGAACTTGAATTATAAATCCGAAGCTTACATTACACTGCTCTTAACTGTACTGATCTTGGAATTTATGCCTTTTATTTCACTTTATATTTCTGTTATATTGTATAGTTCATGTAACTATAGATTATTCTGATGTTCTATTTTATACCCCACTATTCCCTTGGATATTGTTTTTTTTTCAATGAATTTCTACTGAATTTTTCTATGCTGTGTTACAATTTACCTAAATTAACTTCTTGTCATTTTGCTTTACTTTCATTTATACTTTTCGACATGTTTTAAAATTATACCGACACTCTTACAGATCGTATTGCTGCATTCAATTTTCGGTGACGAAAACAAATTCCAAAAGTGTCCATCTGTTCTCATTGGTTTAAGTAATTTGAATAAAACAGCAACATTCCAACAAGATACATCGGTAGCCTTCTGGCTTCAAACAATTCAGAGTCTCTGTCTGAAATCGAACCAACAACTGTATGGACAAGTGAATCGATGTCCGTGACTTAAGCCACTCGGCACTTCCCTACAGATTTTCCAATATATGACTTGTTTTAAATTTGAATATCATTTACCTATTTTTACATTGTTTTAATAATATATCAATACCATTCTTTGTTGAACATGTACATGTTGTTGTTGGTGATGTTTTTCATAATAACGGATGTTCTCACGTAGGAACGATTAATTGTAATATAAAACAATATTTAGGTGTTAATTTAGGTAAAAATAAGTAAACAGACAATTGTTGGCTACTCCTGGTTTAAGCAATATTTAATTTTCAATAAAATAACAATATGTAATTTCAACGTGTACGCGAATATTCATATAGATATTCATGATTGAAAAATATCATAGTATATTACATTGTAATAATTAAACGGTATAAAGTTATATATAATGATACGTATAGATAGTATTGCACGGCCTTGCATAGATTTTGACGTGACGTCATTTGCGTTATACAAACTTATTATGTCTCCCAAAATTTTTGGTAGACATATTGTTTTTGCCTTCGTCGTCCGTCTGTCCGGTTGTCCGTCCGTCCGCATTAAGCTTGTTCGGCCTTCCACAGGTCAAACTACCGGTGGGATTTCAATTACATTTTACAGGAGTGATGTGTGTGTGTATTTGCGTTTATTTATACTCGCCACCGGTTGCCCATAAGGGCGAGTCCTCCAGAAGAGTATTAGTCATTTTATTTTTTTGGAGGATAGTGCAATTACAGATACAGAAAGATGCCCCAATTCCAGAAGCTTCTCCTGGTTCTTTAACGTGCCAAGTGTTTAAGCACCCATACACGGGACCTCGATTTAAAGTCTCATCCGAAAGACTGATTAGTAATTTTAGTTGGCCAGCCCGGGAATCGAACCCACAATGTCGAGATTACAAGTCTCGCGCTCTAACCGATTGAGCTATGCGGGCTGGCTATCAGGAGTGATCAGTACCATCATCTCCTATATACACGTCCCGCTTCGCTGCACAAAATGGCCGCCACAGCTAAAAGTATAAAACAAATCTTGTCCGGTTGAGTGATCACCACTACCCTTAGTTGTGCATATCGCCAGTACGTTCCACTTCGCTGAACAAAATGGCTGACAGAGCTATAAATAGAAAAATATTGTCAGATATAACTGCTGGTTTTCAATGAAACTTCACAGGAGTGAACAGTACCACCCCTTGTTGTGCATATAGCCGGCATGTTCCGCTTTGCTGCACTAAATGGCCGCCAGAGCTAAAAATAGAACAATCTTGTCCAGCTTTCACAGGTCAAGCTGCTGGTGGCATTAAAAAAGGCTGCCAGAGCTAAAGAATAGAAAAATCCTGTCCGGCTATCACAGGTCAAACTGCTGGCGGGATTTCCACCAAAATTCAACCATACATAGTTTTGGGAGACATATGGTTTTGTGACAAAAAAACCTTCTAGTTATACTGCAAACTTGTTACGTCGCTTTTTCAGCCAATAGTCATGACGTTTAAATTATTAGTAATTAATATTTTTGACAGGTTATATGGCCTAGCGGCTCGAGTCATATTTCCAAACAACCGTTTATATACGGCAATATATTTATAACGAATTTACAATACAGCAAGCGTCTTTTTTGGAGAAAAAGTGAGATTCTTCATTGTTTCTGAGGTTATTTAAAAAAATCAAATATATAGCATTTTACACAAGATAAAAAAGATAATAATTATCAAAGTTTTTTGAAATTGAATTTAATGCGATTTAAATGGATCTTTTTTTTATTATGTACAGGTAAACTGTTTGCTGTGAATGGTCCAGGATTCCCTGTCACGGAAGGATTTACATTAGACACGATGGGAAACATTGAGGAATTTTGGGGACCAACCAATAATGTAATTGTTTATCAATATCATTTATTTGAAATCTATTGTATTTTTTTATTTATTTGCAATATTCAGTTTGTTGCCATTTATTTACGAATCAAAGTCAGTAAGACTTATGTATTTATCAGTTTTTACACTATAAGTTAATGTAACCTCATCAAGATTAAAATTGAAAAAAAAATCTCTCTGAACAACCCTCGTTGAATACGTAATAGCCAGAGTATTTTATACTCTGAAAGAAAAACAAAACGATCGGTCGATTTACAACAGTTGCAATTATCAATCAGAACTTACCTAAAAAGCCGTTCAATAAAAGGAAAGTATGCATGCATACACACATGGGAAAAGAATTATGAAAGAACCATTACTGTGATATAATACTTGCTGTTACTTACAGTAAATTATTGGAGCGAGCACATTTTTGATAAAAAATTATGTGAACTTTGTTTGCATCTTTCAGGGCTTCCCGGGACAACCGCATGATGTGACTGTATCACGTGACGGCAGTAATGTATTTGTTGGAGATATTGAAGGGTCTCCAAAATTGTGGAGATTTTCAAGTACAGAAGTACCCGTAAAAACTGTTGGAAAATGAATTTGAAAAGATATTTCTTTAAAAAATAATAAACTAAAATAAAAAAAAAATAAGTAAACCATTTCAACATATTGTGACACTATTATATTTTGTTTACATTTATTCGGGGTTGCCATACATAGACTCATGTGTCTGATTTATATTAAAGTAGGTCAGATTAATATTAAAGTAGGTCTGATTCATATTTAAGAAGGTTTATATTTGAGCTGAGTTATTTTCCCAAAAGTATCCTATTATAAGAAGAAAGTAATGAACTAAATTGGCATATTTATAAAACGATATAATATTCTCTTCAATGTGGAATCGATTTGTGAATTTTGCAGAAATCTAACTTATAGTGTTACCTAAAATACAATGTATTTACAAGTATAGTAAGAGGATATTTTTTCGTTTGAGTGAAATATGGAATATATTTTCACGAAACATGATAAAAAGCCACATATTTTCACGAGCCGGGACGGCGAGTGAAAATATGAGGCATTTTTTCATGTTGAGTGAAAATATATACCATATTTCACGAAAAACGAAAAAATAACCTTTTTATTTAATTTCATTATCAAAGAAAAATGGTTATGAACCCCCTTGCCTGCTACGCAACTGCAATTATACAGCGCGCAGTAATGTAAGTATCGTCTTGTTTTGCACGCGATATTTAGCGCTAGATTGTGACGTCACGTAAACAACTTTTTAAACGTCTGTACAGCGTTAATGACTGAATTAAATATATTGGTGTTCTATGGAAGCCTTGGAGGGTCACTTTTGAGTTTCGACTTATAGATTTATTTTACTATTTTCTTATGACTTTTGATTTATGACTTTTGGTTTATGACTTTTGATTTATGACTTATGGACTTTGTTATTTCCCACGTGCTTGCCATTATAATTATAATTTCCAAGGAAAATAGGGTAGAATATGACAACGATTCAGACGAGGTAAGTTCATTTACCTAAGTTTCCTGGAGACTTATTTAAAGTGACATTATGCCCATCTATAGGTATATAATGAATGAACAGGAGAGAGTCAAAATAAATTTTCATTTTGCCATATTTTCTTTTGATTTAATAATTTACTTTGCAATAAACAATAAATAACCACTGGATTCATACGAAATTTCAGTAAATATCTTTTAGAATTTACCTGTAATGTTCAATTTATAAAAAGAGTCGGGCAGTTTTTTTATATTTAAGGCAGATTTTAAATTTTATCCTAAACATTTTCCAATATAATATGTTGGTCAAACATCATTTAAACAGTCAATCTCTTGAAATATAAAGTCAATTCAGCTCAACTTGACAATGAAAATATGAGCATAATGTCACTTTAAAAAAACAAAATATGTGGGCTCATATGCAAGAACAGAATGTTATTCTTATATAAGCCTTTTAAATTGATTAAGAAAAGAAAATACTTTGCTTGCATTGCATTGCATTGCATTGGGTATCCATTTTTTATTTTGATTTCCGGAACAGGGATATATAATCTCAAATTAACATACAGCGTATGAATCAAACGCTTTATTTTTTATATAGGTTCCAGTTTTAAATCCAAACCAGTCTCGCATTGTTGTTTGCTGCAGTTACAATCGGTTTTCACTCGTAGTTTATTCTTCGTCCATCTAATATTGAATATAGACCAAATTGTAGGCCTTATTTTGACAAAGAAATTTGTGGTTAAGAAGTTTCATGAAACATGGTATTTCAAAAACAATATTTCATTTCAATTAAGATAACACATACTTTTAATGTTTTCAGTTTAAATTCTAGTAAAGCTACCTGTAGGAATTAAGGACGTGCTGTCGAATGGTTTCAACTACAAAGCAGTTGCAAGAGCATCAGCAATACATATTTGTCAAGTTTTTGAAGCCAGTTAAGAAGACTAAGAGGTTTCATGGCAAAACAGCGTTCGTTCCGAGTGGAAAGTAGTACAGTTTAGCAAATGCAAAATGTCCAAACTCTAGTGATTTGGTTTTCTTCGTTATTGTCTATGGAAATATTCAGACATTTTTGGAATACGAGCGTTACCATTTCACACTTGTTTCAGACGCTCGATAATTTTACAAGTTTTAACCCCACCACTTATTGTGGACGCTTTATTGGAAACACGCAATGTCACGTCCCGCCACGTTTATTTTATACTGTCCATACCTCCAATATGGTACAAATTTTGTATCGATATACAGGTCATGGTGAGGCAGAGAAAAGTGTGAAAAATCATGAATTCATAATTCTGGTTTTCATAATTTTCAGTATTTTCCCATTGTAAATTTTAAAACTTAAAAGAAAGGTATCGAAATCAAACTTTGCATGTTCATATAGCTTGGCGAGGCAGAAAGAAACATACTTCTTGCTATTATAGCTACATTTTAGAAAGTCTCCTTTGTTGTTGATTTTTTTCATACTTAGATTTTGTTAAACTCATAATTATCTCAAAAACTGTTGGAGGCATCAACTTGAATTTAATGGCGAGACAGAGTGCATTGTGTTGTTAACAAAACTTTTGATTATAACATTTAATCGTTCTTCTAAGTTAAACATTCCCTTTTTCGACATGCTGTGGGTTGTGGGTATGCACATTACGAAAGACTATGATATTTCCATTACATATAAAGTTATTCTTCGAAAAAAACGAACTTGTGGACGTTATTTAATATATACATTATACAATGTATACAGTTTCTTAAAGTTAACTAGGAAATTTTTTAGCTAGAGACTGTGTTTGTTTTTTCTCTCTTTTGAACAGTTAAAAATGAAGAAATAACGCTTTGACAATGATTTTAAAAATCTTGACTTCAATAATAATACAGCCACTCTAGCGTTGCTAGTTTACCTAATTCAAAAGCTTCGTTAGATCACTCATGATTTTCTTAGTTTTTCATCAGTAACGTATCAACGATGTGTGTTGGTTTTGTAGAAATATTGCATGTATATATGTCTTCTGTGACGTAAATACTTGATGTTTTTGTTGATGGCAGTGTTTATTTTTAGCTGTTCCTTAGTGTTAGCTTTTAAGTAAGGCATGTTTGCTATTTTAGAAAAAAAAATGCTTACCTCTGTAGTTCTTATCTTTGTTTTTAAATTAAATATAATGAAGCTCAAATTCAGTTTGTTTTGCCTATCTAATACATTTGTTTTCTTATAAGACAACAATTTTGTTAAACAAAAAGAAGAACGGTTGTAGAATAAAAAAATGTTTGTTGTTATCTGTTTCCAAACAATTATTGATAGCTCTGCAACCTGTCACGGTCAAGACCGTGAGGTAAAAACCTTTGGTAGTGTGGTCTCTCGGTAGAGGTATATTTAGGTAGTCTGTTGAGGGAGTTGGCTGGTTCCACACAGTTTACTTCTATAGTGATTGCTATTCTATTTCTAAACTTTTGCTTCGGTTTTTCAACCTGTTTAATTACAATCTTTTAATGGGAACACTATCTCTTACATAGATAAATAAATTCTCTGGTAACATTTAAAATGCCTGTTGTTATTCCCGGTGGGAAAATTGCAGGGTTTTTTTGGGGTTTTATAACAAAGTTAACCAATAAACACAAATAATAAATGTGTCAACAAATGAGAAAAATGTCTTTTTATCAAATTCAGGACCAGATTTAAATATGATAATTGTAAAAAGTACAAGTTTGAAGTAGAAATCACAACAAAGCGTTTCAAGTCATATTTGGTGTCCAAAAAACCGTTTTCCCCTAAAATTTTAAATTTTTTATACCTATAAATTTTCTTTTCCTACGGAATACGAAAATTCCGTATTATGTTAATACCCAAATAACAAACCATATATGGAAATGCCGTGGATTATTTTTTACCCTTTGGTTTCCGATTTAGCTGTGTCCCTTACGGTAGCTTAGGAACGAGATCCCCAAAAATTATAAGAAAGGCGGTGCCGGTTTTTGCAAATAATTACGTTTCATTTCCGTCAGTCATAAATTGTAAAATTTTTTTATTTTCCTGAAAATTTCTTATAGAAGTTTGTAGTTTGAAAAATCAATTTTTATAAAAAAGAAAAGGTATTATAAATAAAAGTAAAAATGATGTTGTAAGTAGCCCTTCTTGAGGATATGGCCTTTTAAACTTAACTTTGCCAACAATGGTCTCGCGAGATAATTCAATTTTCCCACTTGCTTGTAAAGCAAAAAACAAAGCCCTTAAAAAGCTACTACTACAAATATTTTCCGTACACAATTCTTTTTCATTTTAATGTATTTATATAACTTAAGGCTTGTAACGCCTCTTTAATAGTCAACACGGGAAAAAAAAGGTAACAAATCCCAACCCTGAATAACTTTTAAAAAAGGGAATTTTAATTTAAACTATTTTAAGATGTAAAAAAGTTTTAAAAAAAATTTTTTAAAAAGCCAAACATCTAAAAAAAATACTTTAAAAATGTTTTTCTTTAAAAAAATTTTGTTATTTTTTCAAAAAATATTTATTTTTCTTTTAAAACTTAAGCTGCAGACGGAACCCCTTTTTTTAAAAGAAGTTCCCAAAATTTAAAAATTCTATACATTTTTATTTAAAAATTAACAATTAATTTTTGAATTATTCCCCGGGAAAAAAAAATAACCCATTTAAAAAACATAAAGAATGCCAATTTAAATTCCCCAATTTTTTAACATCACATGACTTCAACCCCACTCCGGGCCCATTTGGCCCCCTTGCGGTTTTTGGGGGAAATTTTATACAATTTTCTTAAATTTTTCATTAACTAAAAACAAGTAAAACTAATGTTTTTTTTCCAAGGGAAAAAGTAAACAGCCAAAAAGGAAAAGTTTTTAATCAAAAAATAAAAAATCAAAAAAAGTAAAAAGTGGAAAAATTATAAGTGAAAAACAAAAAGGCAAAAAATAAAAAACACGAAAAAAAATTTAATCAAACATTTATTTCAAAGATCCCAATTTCTATTTTTTAAATAAAAAACAAAATAATTCCCTTTTTTTTACCCTAAAAACATCCTTTTAAAGATGGTTTCTATTTGGGTTTCGAAAAAAATAAGACCCTTTTTAATCCCAAACTCATACCCTTTAAATTTTCACCCTAAAAACTTATATGTCAC